AATAATGTGGATCTTTTTAAATTAAAATGAGGTTCACTTTCCAAAAAAATCTATATGTTTAAGTATATATTATCATTAAGTGGTTTGTAGTATATCTTTCTCTGGTGTACAGCCGCCACCACAGCGTTTTTCTAGAAAGTTTTTATCACCCCGGGATCATCTTTCCCATCACCAGTTACTCTTCCTTTCCCTGTAGCCCCTCCCTGGCAACTACTAATGTACTCACTCCCAGTCTCCATGGATCTGCCTAGCATGTCTGATTTTGAAAGCAGTCTGGCCACAAGCACTGCTATAACCTCTGCTTTAGAGAAGAACCTGGGGCACAGAACACTGTCCTTCCAAGGCCTCATAGACTTAGAAGTGGCTGGTCTGACTGCTGAGTACCAACTTTGGAGCAGCATGTGCTTCTGAGTGGTGTACACAGAGATACTTGACACTTGGGGAGTGTTCTCATACAACCTTTTCAGTTTTGCTTATTAGGGTTTTTGTTTATTTTGGGGGTTTTGTTTGTTCTGATTTTCAAGTTTTTTTTTAAGTTTTGTTTTGTTTTTTGAGGCACCATGTAACTCTGAGTGACCAAAACTTACTATGTAGACCAGCCTGGCCTCGACTCCCTGAGTGCTAGAATTTGCCTTCTGAGTGCTAGAATTAAATACCTGTGCCAACACACCTGGCCAGTCTTGTAGTTTTTATGAGACTTCTGCTGGGAGTGCCCACCTGACCAGGGAGACGGTCTCTATCCTGGCCACACCCATGTGGCTGAATATGTGCAGGAGGGAGAGGCACCAGTGCTCATGAGCAGCCGTTGGAGGGGCTGGCTTGTGATGTTAGGCTAGCAAAGGAAGAAGTCCATGCTCAGGCAGAATTAAAAACAAGTTCTGGGCCTGAGTGTGTGGCTTAGTGATAGGGCTTGCTTACTGCTTGGGAGGCTGTGGGTTCTACCTACACAAGCCAAGCCCAAATGTAGCCTCGCGCTTATTTAGTTATGTCATTGGCTACCCTGTACGTGCAGAAATGAGAAGATGAATTCCCTTTCCAAAGCTCTACACTTTGACTCAGTGGTTAACCGATTTGCCCAAGGTCACACATCTAGACTGGTGCTGAGCCCAGACTGGTAGCCATGTCTTCTGGAGCCCCTCCAGGTTCAGGCGTTGTCCAAAGTGGCCTTTTATGGTCCTCGATCCATGTTTAACCCTCTGACTCAGATTGACGAGTAACCTCTTGACTATATCTACATGTTTTTCATTTTCTTCCTTCTTTTTCTTTATAAATCTTCAGCATATGGAATGGATAGCCGACCTCCCATGGCAATTTTTGAATTGTTGGATTACATAGTCAATGAGGTAAGTGCTGCCAGGTTTCCTTGACGTTGGGTTTAATTACTCAAGAAAGAAAGTAGTTATGGGCTGGTGAGATGGCTTAGTGGTTAAGCACAGTAGCTGCTCTTATAGAAAACTGGGGTTCAATTCCCATCACCCACATAACAGCTCACAATCTCCCATAACTTAAGGTCCAAGGGAACTGACACCCTTCTCTGGGGGCACTGCATGCATGTGGTGCACAGACATGCATCCTGGCAAAAAAATAAAAACAAAACAAAAATCCAAACAACCAGCCAAACAAACAAAAAGCCCCATATACAAAATAAAACGGGGGGGGGGGGAACAAGGGAAAAGAAAAACAACATTAAAAAAGTACTTATGAGTGTATTGGTGCAGACCTGTGATCCCAATACTCAGTGAGACAGAAGAGTTCCCAGCCTGAGGCAGGCCTTGAACTGCATACATAGGAAGGTCCCTGTCTCAGAAGAGGGGTGAGAGGGAAAGCCATGGCTGATTTGGTCAAGATGCCTGTGATGGTTCACATGCTGTGGTCCTCGGGATGCCTGTGCTTTGCTCTTGGAATTGTCAGCTCAGAGTCCTTCCTTCTTTCCCAACTTCAGGGGCCTCTCAGTCACCCAGTGATGTTTGCCTGTCTTCATTTACTAGGCTGTCCAGTGCATTTACAAAGTTCTGAGCACAAGAGGTGTGAGGAGGGGGAAGTGGGATGGACCAACGATGGAAAAGCAGGAGCCCCTAGTCTCCACGATGGTTAAGTGGGGTGAGGGAGGGGGCTCATGAATGTAGAACTACAACATAAAGGTTTGGGTTCTTATTTTAAGTGCTGCTAAAAAGCTGTGACTATAGAAAGAGATGTGGAATATCTATTATCAATTCTGTGAAAGAAGGAAATTACTTCTGGGGGAGGTGGCTCAGACCTGTAATCTGAGCACCTGGGAGGCCAAGGGAGAATGTCATGAATTCTAGGCTAGTCTGTATTATGTTTCAAAGTAAAGGAGGGAGGGGGTTGAGAAAAATATTTTTTAATGTATATGTCTATAAGATGATTAAAAATTTCAAACTCTTGCTTACTCTTGGCTGACTGTAAAGAACATACCACTTGTGAAGTCTACTTATAATTAAGTGTACATTAAGGAAAGAGGAAACTTGCCCCAAGGTTTGTTCAGGAGTAGCCTGGGGCAATACAGGACGTGAGAGGACCCAGTGGGCCAGTACTCTGCTCTGAAGCAGGAGCAGCCTTGGCAGTTGATGAGAAGGGATGAGTGCTGGCATGTTTCAGAGGCAGCACCAGGCTCAGATAAGGCTATCACCTGTCCATGACTTCTAGAAATTATAGGTTATCTTCTTGTGTCCTTCTCTGAAAACAGACCTTTGAAGGTACAGAAAGGCCCCTTTTCTATTAGGAAAACTTCTGGTTACTTCTCTACTGGGCGCAGAGCAGTGTACCAGGCAGCAAGGGGCAAGGCAGAACAGTGCAGGCTTGAGGGCTTCATCAGTGCAGGCTAGGCCATCCATCATCCTCTGCCTGTTGGAGCCCAGATGGCTCCAGGTGGGAGGCCTGTTGAGGAGGTGGGCTGGAGCACCTGTGAGCTCTGCACACTGCTTTCCCCACTAGTGCTCACTTTGTTTTCACTGTTCTTTAAACCAGCTGGGGTGGGCCAAACTGCCTTTGCCCTCTTCACTTAGGTAAGGAAACTGAGGCTCCAGAATGGGCAATAGCCTTCTTTTATTCATTCCCAACCCCAAGAGCATTTGCTAGCACCTAGTCTTTTCTTGCCTTGCCCCCTGCTGCTCAGGAGCAAACATTGTCTTCTCTTGAATATTCCACACAACATCTCAGCAGCTGGAGGGTGCTCAGTTTACAGGGTGGGGCTTGTCTTGGGCTTCTGTTCTATGATCTTGGTTGTAGCTGACCTTAAATTGATTGACAAGGCCTTCAGGGTGAGAGGGCTTGCTGGACTTTTTAGTAGGGGGCTTTTATTGTGTTGTTCTGCGGTGCAGGGGTTTAAACCCATGCTTCATGCATGCTATGCAAGCCCTCTATTACTGAACTGAGCCACTCCTACGGAACCAGTGTTAGTTCCATTTGTTTTAGATAGGGTCTCATGTAGCCTGGACTAGTCTGAAATGCCTCAGCACCCCCAAATGCTGGGACTATAAGCAGGCCCCACCTAGCTGTTTTTTGTTTTATTTTGCTTTTCCTCAGACAGCGTCTCACTGTGGGCTGACTGGGACTCGCTATGTAGACCAGGGTGGCCTAGAACTCGAGAGACCTGCTTGCCTTTCATTACAGCTCTATCTTAAGTACTGTTCTCCCAGAAGAGCTGCACAGCTATGGACACAGGTCACATCAACTGAGATCTCCTAGCGCTGCTGTCAGAGTCCTTCCAGGGGCCTGGGGACAGCCTCCTTGCTACAGTCAGTGAATGTCTTATCAACCGCCTTCCTTGGGGTTCAGAGACAGGTTTTGTTGTGTGGCTTTTAGGGTTATGTCAGGTCTGAGTGGTGCCTCCTATTTTGTGCATCCCTGGAGCTTTTGCTGTTGGCACACCCAGGCCTGTCACCACGATTATTCTTAATCTGCATTTGAGTGTCTAAGCTCAACGGATTCTAGAGCTAAAGCTCAACCTTACTCCATAGGAGAGTGAACAGGCTGAGGGGAACATGGTTTGTTCAGTCACCAGAGTGGTAGAACACTTGCAGTGGGCCCAGCAAGGTGAGACAGGAGGAGCTGGACTTGCTAAGGCCACTTTCCTGGATCTGATGAGGGCAGCAGTGGCCAGAGGCATGGGTGTGATGGGCAGGTGACTGGAGCGGGAGTTAAAAAAGTGTCTGACATGTTGACATGTTTACAGCCTCCTCCAAAACTGCCCAGTGGAGTATTCAGTCTGGAATTTCAGGATTTTGTGAATAAATGGTAAGTTTGTGTCATGTTTCTGAGAACCCCCTAGCCTTATCCTTTTCCCTCTTGATTAACCCTTGCTGTTGCCATACCCCTTTTAGTGCTGGGACTCAGGACTATCTGATCCTCTGTGCTACTCTTACTGGAGCTGCAGTGATCATCTTGTTGCTTTCTGACCTTGATTTAACTGATCAAGACTTACATGCTTAGGCATGATGGCATGCCTATCAATGGAGGATGAGCAAGGCTCAGGCACTGGCTCCTCAGCTTTCAGTTTACGGACAGACATGTGACTAGGAACCATACTCTCACATTATTTCTTTCTTCTTTTCAGCTTAATAAAAAACCCCGCAGAGAGAGCAGATCTAAAGCAGCTTATGGTGAGTTGCAGAGCTTCTTTACTCATCTCACTGAGCCATTTTTCTGCCCTGCCCCACTCCTCATACTTGAGGCTGCACTGTGTCAGACGTCAGTCTTCTCTGGCCTCTTTGTGAGTTACAGGGGGACCTGGGACGCACTTTGCTGAGGATAGCCCCCTTGGTTGATCTCCATCTGGTTCTTGCTTGATGGCAGCGGCACAGGAATGTGACACTCTTAAGATCCAGATCACTCCATGACCAATGCAGCCTTGAGCGTAGTGTACCTTCTAATAAGCCATTGAATTGCCCAGAGACACAGGTGCCGGAGCCAGCCAGCAAAGTCGAACAGTATCTGGATGGGGAGTGAGGACTGAAAGAAATAAAGCACGACACAAGGGATCATTTGAGAGGACTGTCAGTGACTACTGAAGCCCTGAGTTTATTCAGCAGCTCCTTTTTATAGGCAAAACAAGGCACATCAAGACAAGGAAGGGGTTCATGGAGCAGTCAAACTTGTTTTCTTAGGCCACTGTATAGCAGAAACGGTCCAGGGTCACACAAACAAGCTAAAGGAACTTGGCAAAACATCTTGCTTATCTCTATTTTAAGGTAACGGCCAGGGCAGACATGTTTTCTGACGAATACTCAATAACAAAGCAGCTTGCCAGGCAAACGGCTCTCTCCACACAAGGGTTTCCCCCAGGCCTTCACGGCTTCTGTGTGTGGCAGACGGGGTCTCTGGGATGTAGCTGGCCTACTTACTGCTCAGTGGTGAGCAGCAGCATCCGGGAGGTGCCCGGGCCAAGACTCTTGCTTTTCCTCCGTGGTCGTTTTTAACAGCATCTCCTTTCCCTGTTTTTCTGCACACAGGTTCATGCCTTCATCAAGAGATCTGATGCAGAGGAGGTAGACTTTGCAGGTTGGCTCTGCTCCACTATCGGGCTTAACCAGCCCAGCACACCAACCCATGCCGCCAGCATCTGAGCCTTTGGGAAGCAGCAAAGAGGAATCCTCTGCCCAGTGGCATGCCATGTTGCTTTCAAGCCTCTCCCATGCTTGTCTCTGTTCAGACGTGCATCCCATCTGTGACAAAGGATGAAGAACACAGCATGTGCCAAATCGTACTTGTCATTTTTTAATATCACTGTCTTATCACTATGGTTACTCCCCTGAGTGGATTGGCTTTGTGCTTGGGGCTATTTGTATGTTGATCAAACACATGCCAAGCTGAACTACAGTGAAACCCTGGTGGCCTGGGTGGTCATCCTTCCTGATGTTTGCACTGCTGTTGATGTTCTGTGACTAACTGGCTGGCTGGACTGTCAGGATTTTCGGACCCTTGGTACTTCACTCTTGCTGGTGACCTCTCAGTGTGGAGAGGGAGCCTTGTGAGACCTTTCACAGGCAGTGCATGGAAAGCATGCTTTACTGCTACTGAAATGATCATTCAAATGTGTACATCATGGCATTTTTATTTTTTGCTTTTGGTATAGAACTCAGCAATTCCTGTCAAAAAAGCTAACCAGAGCCCATCACTGCCATGATAGCTCGGGCTTCAGTCTGTCTACTGTGGTGATTTTTCCAACTTCTGGTTGTATTTCTATGTTTTTAAATATACTGTGTGGGGTATTTAGTGGTGTATGTCTCTAAGTTTGGATTAGTGTCTCTAAATTGGTGGTTACTTTGAATGTCACAAATGGATTAAGGCATCAGTATGTGTCAGAGTTCTATCTTTCCTCGAATCCAAGCAGCAATGCTATTGTAAACAACGTGTATAGTGCCTACAAACTGTATGAAACCCTTTTAACCATTTTAATCCAGATGTTTATCAAATCCAATCTCCTATTCTAATAAAAATACTATCAAGTTAAAATAAAAAGGACACAAAAGATATTTCTGCTTTTGTGGCAGTCCTTTTGGTTTCTTTAGGGTGTGGTGGTTTAAACACGTATAGTCATGTGTTTGAATGACTGGCCCTTAAAGAGTGGCACTATTAGGAGGGGTGTGTCACTGTAGAGGGTTTTGAGATTTTGTGTGTTCAAACTCTGCTCAGTGTTCAGTCTCCTGCTGCCTTCAGATCAAGTGCTCTTGGCTTCTCCAGCACCTTATCTGCCTGCATGGTGCCATCCTTTCTGCCATGATAATGGACTAAACCTCTGAAATTGTAAGGCAGCCCCAATTGAAGGTTTTCCCTTATTGCTGGGAGTTTGAGGCCAACCTGGTCTACAAAGTGAGTCCAGGAGAGCCAAGGCTACACAGAGAAGCCCTGTCTCAAAAAAGCAAAACAAAAACAGGAAAGGAGAGGGGGAGAAGAGTTGCTGTGGTCATAGTGTCTCTTCACAGTAATGAAAGCCCTAACTAAGAAGATTTAGCCAGGCACTGAGGTCGGGGAGTGAAGACAGGAACACAGCTGGAAGGCATAAATACTACACTGTCTTTTGAGAGTTTCTGTTGCTGATACAAACACCCAGGGACGAAGGGGTTTATTTCAGCTTACAGCTAGCTTTTATTTAGCCACCGTACTTGGAAAGCAGGAGCAGGTGGATCTCTGTAAGGTTGAGGCTGACCTGGCCTATACAGTGAGTTCCAGAACAGCCAGGGAGAGACCTTGTCTCAAAAGCTAGGTGTTAGAGGTACATGCCTTTGACCCCAGTGCTTACTTCTCTTAGAAGATAGAGGCAGGTAGATAGAGGCCAGCCTAAACTATACTGAGAAACCCTCTCTTGAAAAAAAACAAAAGACCCCCCCCTCCCGAAAAAAGTCCAAACTAGGCAACACACACACACTGCTCTCCGCAGTGGGCTAATGGGTCTCCTGCAACTCCAGTCTTTAGACGAACTCTTCTCATGCAGAAGAGTGACTCCTACCACCCTTAGGACCTGTGCCTGAGGATAGTTTATTTACACAAGGGAAAAACTGTAGGTGGTAAAACACCGTGGGGTTTACTTGGCTTACATATACTGAATCACAGTCCACTGAAGTAAACCAAGGCAGGTATTGACAATGGGGAGGAGAGAGGGGCACCTGGAAGAGGCTGAAGCAGAGGCACCACAGGAATGCTACTTAGTGACTTGTTCAGTTTCTTTAATAATAGCACCCAGGACCGCCAGCCTAGGGGCTGGGCCCTCCCACTGCAATAAGAAATGCCCAAAGCCCGGTCTTAAAAGAGACAATTTCTCAATTGAGATTTCCTCCTCTCAAATGACTGTAGCTTGGTCAAGTTGACATACACCCAGCCAACACAGTGTTAGAAACCTGCCTGAGCAAAATTATGAGCTAGTTCTCACAGACCATTCCTTTGATGTAACAGGACCTTTCAGCAGCCATGCTCACATGAGGGCCTTGCTGGTGTGAGAGCCTTCATCACAGTCTGGTCAGTCTGCTGTACTGGGAAATGGTTTCCCTTCAGTACTTTGAATTAACTACACCTTCCGGGGAGGAGAGATGCTCCAGCTGCTGGCTTCGTTGTGATCGAGGCAGCTGTAAAATCAGAAAAATAAGATGTGAGACCCAGGCGTACTTTTTAAGGGTACAGTTGTGCAATTGTGAGGTACAGTTGAGATACCAGCAACATTAGAAACTAGGTACCCCACAAACATTTGCTACTCAGCTCTGAGGGATTACTCTTTGGACACACATATGCTTACACACATATATACATACACAAGCAAAATATATCTTTAAATAAAAAAGAAAACAACAACAACAACAACAAAAACCCAGCAGTCATATGCAGGTGATGTTGTTCTGTGGTAAGGTAGTGATGCTTGTTGCCAAGACTAATGACCGAAGTTCAACCCTTGGGACCCCCGTGGAAGACTTCTGTAAATTGTCCTGTGACTTCCTCGTGTACTGTGATACACATGTACACGCATACACGCACATGCAAAATAAAGGAAATATAAACCGTGGTGACAATGTCAGCTACCCTTGAGACCGTCTCATCAATATTCCTTGATTTCTTCTTTGGGAGAATACCTTTCACAAAACTGGTGTGTGTACTGTGTTGTGTAGGTAATTGTCAGCATGGGTGTGTGTGTAAGATGCATTTGGTATGCACATGTGTGGTGATGGCCAGAGGTTGCCAGCAGTTTTCTTTTTCTCCATTAATTTGTTGAGACAGGGTCTCTCTATGTAGTCCTGGCTATCCCAGAATTTGTTGTGTAGACCATCACACTGGCCTCACATCCAGCCTCTGCCTTGCCCCCTTGACTGTCCCTGGTAATGACTGAAGCTTTTTCAGAAGAAAAAACAAACAAACAAACAAACAAAAAAAAACGATGGAATAGAGTACAAGTTTATCTCACTTAGCATAATGCTCTAGGGATTAACCCATGCTAAGACCTTGTATCAGGTTTTGTTTTGGTTATAGTCTAGGTTGGCCTCAAAGCAGATGGCAATCACTCCTGCTAGAACATCCCAAAACCTGAGATTATAGGTGTGTATATGCCAATGCTAGCTAAAAGTCCTCTTTTTTGTTTTGATTTTTTGAGACAGGGTTTCTCTGTAGTCTTAGCTGTCTTGGACTTGCTTTGTAGACCAGGCTAGCCTCGAGCTCACAGAGATCTGCCTGCCTCTGCCTCCCTGAGTGCTAGGATTAAAGGCGTGTACCGTATGGCTAAAGAACACTTTTTGAAGCTTGCTCTTCTGAACCCTTTCCCTGAGTGCTGGGATTAACAGAGTGCATCTCCAAGCCCAGTGTCACTACTTCAGATAGGGTCTCTCAGTGAACCCAAGACTCACTGGTTTGGCTAGGCGGGCTGGCCAGTGAGCTACAGGGATCTGTTGGTCTTATCCAAAGTGCTGGGGTTATAGGAATATAACACTGTGCCCAGCTTCTTACATGGATTTTGGGGCTCCAAACACAGGTCTTCATTTTTGTATGTAGACACTGTACTGACTGGGCCTCACCCATTCACAAGTATAAACCTTCTTTCTTATAGGCCCTACAGCCCAAGATGACATCTTTGAGATTAAGTGCCAGAGACTTACGAGTTTTGTTTGTATAACTAACCCTAGCTGTTGTCCCCTTTTACGAATCAGATTCTTCCTCCTCCTCCTCTTCCTCCATCTCTTCCTCCATAGGGTTCCTTGTGCTCAGCTTCAGTGTGGTTTGGTTGATTGATGCTTCATTGTCTACAAGCATGGACATCTGTATAAAATAAGAGCATTAGTATTAACTGGGAAGGAGCCAAGCCTCAAAACAGCAAATTCTTTAAAATCAAATCTCATTTGTGGTATTGGAGAGATGCCGTTAAAGAGTACTTGTTGCATGCCAGGCATATACCTTTACTTCCAGGACTCAGGAAGCAGAGGCAGGTGGATCCCGAGTTTGAGGCCAGCCTGGTGTACAAAGTGAGTTATAGGACAGCCAAAGCTACACAGAGAAACCCTGTCTCAAAAAAACCAAAACAAAACAAAAATTTGGGTCTTTAGACCCAAGTTCCAGTCCTAACATCCATGCTGGACAGCCTACAAGCCCCAACCCTAGGGTATCTGACACTTCTATGGGCACCAGTGTTCATTCGTTTGTCCATCCATCCATTTATATACATACACACACTATAAAGAAATCTTTAAAGCTAAAAATATTCAATTGTATGTTCCTCACATCTTTATGACTGAGAGACATGAGCACTTCCCTGTTTCCTGTTTCTCCCGTTACTGAAAAGGGGTAAGAATAAATGCTTCATATTTACTAAAATGTTAACTGATTAAATATAAAGTCCTTTTAAAAACCATCAACAAAATAACTGTAGACTACATTGCTAATCACAGAATTTTGAAAATACGGTGTATTTAGGAGGAGTCTGATTGGCTTTGCTGAAGGCTCTTGGTAAGAGTGAGTGGCCTAAACACCTGCAACTCAGCCGTTAGCTCCTGCTTTGTACTTGAAGGCACACTCACAGAGCAGTAGCTATGACATCTTTTTAAAACCAGCCTATGTTTCTAAGTAGGATGTGAGGGCACAGGCCTGTAATCTCAGGCAGAGGGAAGAACATCAGAAGGCCGGCATGGGTCCGTAAGACACCGCTTCAAAACAAAATCCACCACCTCTACCACCACAACCACTACCGGTTTCTTGGGGTGCATCTGAGTAACTGGAAAGAAGGGCGTAATCTGAGCTGAGGGCAGGCTGGGCACACTGGTGCACACCAGGAGAGCAGAAGCTGCCTAAAATCTGACAGAGGATGAAAGACAAGCTATTTGTTGCCTGAAAGATTGATGTGGATGAGCTTTTTATTGAAGTGCAAATCATGAGGGGCTGGAGATGCGGCTCACTGGTTGCTCACTATGCACGGAGTTCCAGGTTCAATGCATAGTAAATTCCCCAGAGTCCTTTGGGCTTTGCCACACAGAATTTGTCTGCCTAAGCAGCAAGGGCACACAATGGGACTTCACACTCTATCTAGAAGGCTATCCTTGACTGAACTTACATCATGGAACTGCTCAGGCGCCGGCTGGGAGGACGGCATCTCAGTCCCTCCTCGAGAACTTATCATGGATCGGAGGGCCAATTCTTCAACCTAGGAAAGAAGAGTGGATGACATTTACTGAGTATTCTGCTGGCTTACCAAAGAGAATGAATTCTACTGGATGCTGTAAAGGTTGGCATTATGAGAAAGAACTGCTTATAACCCCTGTACTGCTCTAGAAGAGCAGGGGGAACTTTATCTCTTTTTTTCTTACCTTTTCCCCCACCCCCTCAGACAAGGTCTCACTATGTAGTTTTGGCTGTCCTGGAACTAGATACGTAGACCTGGTTAGAGGTGTTGAGTTTACAGATATCTGCCTGCCTATACCTCCCAAGAGCTAGGACTAAAGACAGGTACTGCCACGCCCAGTTCAGTAATGTAGCTGGGTGTGAAACTGCATGCCCGTAATCCCCGCACTGGAGGAGGCAGAAGGATCACAAGTTTGAAGAAAACCTGGGCTACACAGAAGATTCAAGACCAGCCTGGGTTACATAGGGAGGCCATTTCTCTCTCTCTGAGACACATACACACAAGCCTAAGCCTGAGTTTGTCTACTCATTAATGAGAAAGTGAAGGCAGAGAATTATAAATGCACGTGTTTCCTGGGGTCATCTGCAATACATGATAATTGGGTGCTTCAGGAGGTACTGTTGCAGTAGCTGCCCCGAGGAAAACTGCTTATCATTTTCTCTACCACAGGTATACAAGCTCAGACTATACAGGGCTTCTGTAATCTTCCTGTCACACTTAAAGATCTTGCCTATAAGTGGCGAGCAGGGGTTACCATGGTCATTTCACAAGGGCCAAATTACCCCTAGATCTAGGAAGTGATCAAGGCGATCTCGAGCGGACAAGTTTCTCTCCCGGACCTCATTCGCACCACAGGAGGATCTACGATTCTCTTCTAGCTTTGCAACACTAGAGCCCTTTTCAGGGGATATAAACACTAGTAACCAGTAGCTGATACGTGGGCGGGCGGGCCGGGAGCGGTGGGGAGCGAGCTGCCCGGGGCTTCACCGCCGCGCTGGGGGCCCGCTTACCTTGAGGCGGTTCAGTTGGTCGTGCAGGACCGCCTTTAGACGCAGCAACGTCTCCTCCTCCTTGCGGAGCTCCTGCAGCCGGCTCAACATCCCCTTCCACCTCCTTAGGGCACTGCCTTCTGCCCGGCGCGCGGCGATGACGCCACTTCCGCCTGCCGGAAGCAGCCGCGGGTCGCAGGGTCATCGTTTTCCAACTGCATGCCGGTCCAGTAGGAATCTGGAGTGTGAAAGCACGGTACAATGGAATCCCAAGGAGCATGGAGACTCTAGTCCACCTCCTTCCACGTGCCACAGAAAGCGCCTTCAGTGCAGCACTTTCAACGCGCTCTTCCAAGTGGCTTTACTCCACAAAGGCAGGAGACATTTGCAAGCATCAACTAAATTAGCAATTCATAGCTCACAACTTGTGCGGGGCCGTTTTAAGTTGTTCAAGAAACTTCCATTTTCCAGGGGAGAAGAAAGCTAACTTGTTATAACGTTGTTTTACCTGAGTTTACCTGCCTGCTAACAGTTTTGACCAGGTACCATGAAGGCAACAGGAACCGAAGCTAATTCTAGGATCACCATTGACATTTACGGTAGAGGTCACCGGGTCACCATTAAACAAGTACTGAGGTCCAAAGCTACCCCTCTATTGAAAAACCATTTGTTTTCCATGCACTGGAGGCTCTTTGTAACATCATGCTCTCTGGTGGGTACTCTAATTGCACTATTCATAGACCCTGGCCCTTTGGGATTTCCTGATATTTTCATGCTTCACAAACAAGTCTTATAACATCTGGTACTAATAGACTCAGTTTCATTTCAGGTTTGAGGAAATCCCAAATTCATTTTATACCACAATATAACATTGTACAAATTACAGCCTCGAGGATGAAATTTTATTAAAAATAAAGTTCTTGTTCTGCAATCCTGATGAGCTAAGCTTGATCCATAGAAAACTATTTCCACATGTAATGACACTTCCACCACCACCATTCCTGCTTAAAAAAAAAAAAAAAGTCTTTGGGAAATCCATAATTAAGATTCACACAAATTGTTTCTCACTGCATCTTTGATTAGGTTTTTATTCAAATAGACCTGTCTCTATTTGTTCTATGGAATGATACAAATTTTAATAGTTTATGCAGCAGGCTTTTTTTCTTCTGCAGTAGGTTTCTTCTCTGCTGGCTTCTTCTCAGCTGCTGGCTTCTTGACTGGGGCAGCCTTCTTTCCTGAAGGCTTCTTCATCTTCTTGACATCTACAGGCTTCTTTTCTTTCTTGCCTGCAGCCCCCTTCTCTGCCACAACCTTCTCTGACTTGGCTGCCAGTGCTGCTGCTGCTGCTTCCAGTTTCTTCACGCGAAGTTTGTGCTGGGGGGGGGGGAGAGGTGGAAGTAGAGAATTAAAATTTTAAGCCTTCAAATAAGTGAATCGACACACATCTTTCAACCCAGCACTTAGGGAAGGAAGAAGCAGGTGATGGGTCGTTTGCAGTGCAGCCTGGCTTAAACACAATGAATTCCAGGACAGCCAGGGCCATACAAAGAGACTGTCTCAGGGGAAATAAAAAGTATCAAATTAAAAAACAAAACAAAACATAGCTTGAGACAGCAAATTATGGCTTACATTTCTGGCCTGGCGAAGAATGGTATTCCTGCGCATAGTCTTTGCATAAGGGTTCAGCTTCAACATGATTCTCAGGTTCTTCAGTGGATTCTTCTTCAAGACTCTACGCTGAATCTTCTTGCTATAAAGAGGTGGCATTCAATCAACATGTGTTTCTTTAAAAAGTCAAAGGGGGCTGTATCAAATGTTGTGCGGCAAGCTTCAAAACTTACCGTGGTGCTCGGAGGGCTCTTTGGATTTCCGGGCTTTTCAAGATTCTGCTAAGGTCTGTGTTCATCATCTTGTGCATGGGAAGGCTGAGGGGAAAAAAAAACCCCACAAGTCCATATTCTTATCTAACTGAACATAAACCATAGGAATTATAATTTAAAGAGCTTAGCTCTCTAGGCAACTTCCACCTTAATTTTCATAATCATGGATGAACATTACCCCTCCAAGCAATAGGAAATATATTTAAAAAAATTAATGTATAAGTTAGAAAAAATGTGAGGCAGGAGATATGGCAGCTGGGTGAGGCACACTCCAGTAATCCTAAGGCAGGCGGTCTATACAGCAAGTCACAGGACAGCCAAGACTAACACACAGAGAAACCCTGTCTCACACAAACAAAAAACCACTGGCTACTACTCTCCCATAGGACCCAGATTCAATCCCTAGCAACATGGCAGGTCACAACTGCCTACAACCACCATTTTGGGAGGTCTGACACTCTCTCGCAGACATCCGTGCAGTCAAAACACCAATGTACATAAAATAAAAAGAAACTCACTTATAGTTACTCTTGAGGGTAGCAGCCTTACGCCAAGTGCCATATAATTCGTCTAACTTCCGGAAAGCACTTTCAGTCCAAATGCAGAAACGTCCCACATGCCCACCAGGAGCAAGTTTCAAAATGTTCAACTTGCTTACATTAAGCAGAGTAATACCTTTTAAAGGAAAGATCGGGAAACCTGCATTACTCAACAGGGGAAATAAGATTTCTATGGCTGTGAGTCTTAGGCCATCATACTGGATGAACTCATTCATCTAGGCATCAGAACTTCCACAAAATCATTATTATTTCAGAAACACGGACCATGAAGTGGAATCTCATCATAACCACATCTGAGTGAGCTTACGAAGAACAGGCAGTTAAAACGTGTACAAGAATTTACCAGGGATGTTCCTGAAGGCCTTGATGATTCCACTGTCTTCATTATAGATGATGCACGGCCCCCTGCGCTGGATGCGCCGTCGGTTTCTCATTTTGCCCTTGCCAGCTCTCATCCTCTGAGAAGCATAGACCTAGAGAGAGGTACAACCTTTCTAGCAGATCAATTTAAAAACAAGCTGAGCCAGAACGATGTCTCAGCAAGTAAACAAGTTTTCAGCTAAGCCTCATGATCTGTTTGATACCTAGAAATTCAATTTTTTCTATTCCATGTCTCAGATCTCAATTACCAAATGGTTATGACTTGCTCAGTAATAATCTTCGTCAACCTTCTGACTCAGCTTAATGACAGCAGGCAACTGTCACTGAAAACAGAGTAAGACGCAAATTACAACATCATTGCAAGCAAAATTTTCATCAAGCCCTTTCTGTAAGAAAAAAGATGGCAAAAAGAATTCACATTGTCTTCTTGCTTATACAGATGAATAAATGTGACGATAGTGCCCAATGTTTCTTAATTACTATTCTCTAAATAACAGAAATGACACCTACACTGCACTCGATAGGTGACCTACAGAGAACTTGATTAACCACAACTATCCCTTTGAAAGGTAGCTTCTGTTGTCAATATCCAATAACAGCTCAAGTCTGACCACCTACCTTTAAACCTCAACTTATTCAAACCAGAATCTCACAGTGTGAGCACCAGACTGGGAGCATACATGCTCAACCTACCTTTTTGATGTCATTCCAGGCTTTAAGTTTCTTAAGCAACTGAACAGCCTCCTTGGTCTTCTTGTAACCCTCAACCTTATCTTCCACCACCAAAGGCAGCTCAGGAACTTCCTCAATTCGATGACCTAACAAGGCCAAAATAATACTTAATAGCAAAGTCTCAATTTTTGACAGGTCTCTCCTGGCTCTACATTGCCTAGCATCTCATCTCTTTCCATACTCCCAAATAAAAACAGCATGCAGTCTGCCAGATCAGAATTTCCACTAATATCATGGAGTTCAGAAACACGGACCAATTTAGTGGAGTTTCATCATTTTGACAGTTAATCTAAGGCTTACTAGATTGAAGCAAGCAGAAACAACTCACAGAAGCAATTCACTTAACAAAGTTTAAGGTGCAAGATAGAACAAAACATCCTATACCAAAGCATTACAGACCTTTAGACATCACCAAAGCTGGTAAGGCTGAGGCAGCCAGAGCAGAACAGATGGCATATCGCTTTTGGGTTGTGTTCACTCTGCGGTGCCAACGACGCCAGGTTTTGGTTGGCGCAAACATGCGGCCCCCACGACACATCTGTTTTCCTCGTCAAGAATAAACATTTTTTCAAATTTGGAGAATTAACAAAGTTATGACTTGCTCAGTAACAATGTTCGTCAACCTTCTGAACCAGCTTACTGACAGCAGGCAACTGTCACTGTGAACAGAGTAAGACGCAAATTACGACATCACTGCAAGTTATCCCTCATAAAACATCTCCAGATTGTTGTCTAGCAATCTGATCCTTATTAAAGAGTAATAATCCAAGTCTAAGTCCAATTGGTTAACCGCAAATGCTGACAACTAGAGAAACAGGATACATTTCCAAAGGCACCCTGGCCAGAACGGTGGGTCCCACCACCTCGAACTCTTGGAATTCGAGCCACAGCTCTGCCAGTACCCCAAGACTCAGCACTGGTCTGGTGACCTAAAATTAAGAAGAGAGAAGTTTTAGGTACTAAGCCATTTTAACTCAAGACTTACTTCATGATGATTAAGGCAGTATCAGAATAGCCAAGGCAAATCATATGGTTCAGAAACACGGACCAATGGGATTTCATCACCAACTGCAAACAATTTCTCAAAGAGCATACCCATGATAAATTAAGTCCATACCTGCCAATTCACTGACGGCATAGGGCTGTCTGTTGTTTTTCCTCAGGTTGGTGTGCACAAAGTTCACAATATCCGGTCGAATAGGGGCTTTAAACACAGCTGGCAATTTGACATTCTTGCCAGATGACTCCCCCTTTTCAGAGTACACTGATATGAGGGGACGGGCACAAGCCTGGAAGGGAAGAGAAAGCTAAATAAGACACAAAGCAAGTATTATCTCCTGGATCTGAAACCTAGATTTTTCTAAGTACATATGTAAGACTTGCAAACAAATATAGTTAACAAGCCACAAGCCAGTACATAATTACACAAAATCCCCCAACAGAACCATATCATGCTTTAATAAGGAATATTCACTTGAGAGAACAAAAGCGTATTTATATCCACAACATTGGAGGCAAACTCTTCTCATCATTAAATGTGCGGAACTGATCTCTGTGAATGAGGCCACCCTGGTCTACAGAGTCCAGGACAGCCAAAGCTAGACACAGAAACTCTGCCTCAAATCCCAATCCCCCCCCAAAAGTTTTAAGGTACTATTTAATGAGATCATATAAACTTTACCCTCCAACTTCAGGAAACCTTGCCTGCGAGGCCACATTTGTCCACTATTCCATTTCCCCCTTCAATCTCATAGCCACTTTGTCTTCAACTCCGCAAAGACTCTCACCTGAGGATGTTTCAGAACACCTGCTTACTTCTCTCTGACCTCATGTCCTATATGCTTTTCAGATTCCGCGATCAGAAGCACCTGTTCCATCTTCTCTCCCTAAAGTTATCACTAATCTATCCATGATCAATTTAAAGATGCACCTCAGGCCTGTCTCCAACGTTTAATTCACTGTGGTCAGATCAACCTTAACCCGTTTTAAGTGAGGCAGAGATGAATGTTTGTGGAAAAACAGTTTTAACTACTGTCTGTTAACTGGCTTAAGGTTCAGGCACCTAGATTTAAGCATTGGAGACCTTGCTTTTCTAAAAACGATTTCACAGAGGCAGAGACAACGCTTTCCCTCCACACTTTTCTTTGGAGATGGAGGCATTGCAACTTCACTGGACGGCAAGCACATGCCGCGCCAAGGCCCATGCCGAGTTGCCGTCGGGCGACCCCCAACCCCTGACAAGCCTCCGGCACCGGTTGGGTTTCCAGAAGCCTTGTTTCCCTAGAATTAAGGAAAGCGAGGATCACAAAGGTGCCTCTGCCATCCACCCTGCGCGGTCTCCCACGTTGCCTCTAAGATGGCTGCCGCAGTGCCCACAACCCAGCTCCCAACCATGAAAGGCGCCAGGAAATCCCCCCTTTGCCTCCTCTCTGCCAGGCTCCATGCTCTGCCCCTCCACCCTGCCCCACAGTGCCCAGAATGCAGGGCAAAGTCTGCTATGGAAGCCCGTCACTCACCATGGCGGGGAGAGGAGAAGGCCACGATCCTCTCGACCCGGCTGCTCCCACAGGAAAAGGAAATGCCTCTCACTGCTACTCTGTATATATCCTTACACTCCTCTCCAGCGCCCTGCCTCGCGACAAAGCCAAGCCCGAGGCACAAGCTAACGCTCTACGACACTGAAATATTTAAAAACAATCATATCATTACGTTACGTGTGTTAAAACTCTGTATCTATTCTTTTTTAAAGCCAAAAAGGATCATTAGAAACGAGGGACTTCTTTTCGCGGAGTAATTCGTAGCTCAACGAAATCTCGCGAGATGAGATTTCCTGCTCCCCCCCCCCCACCTCCCGTCAGAATATCTCTTTTAACTTTTTTTTTCCCCCCCTGACAGACGTGGAAGACTTTTGGAAGAGTAAGTATCAAGGGACGCTTTAATAACTTGAAATGAGGTGTCAGCGTTGAGTCCAGGCGTAACTTAATACTGTGGTGTAGTTCCGGCGGGGCGGGGTCACGGCCTCTGACGTCACGGCGGGGCGCGCGCTTCGGTTCAGCTGCTCCGGGATGGACCGCGTCCCGGGCGGGATGTGGGCCCGTACGAACGGCGCAGCCGAGAGGTTTTACTCTGGCCTTCTGCAGTGAGTTGTGTTTGGGGAAAGGGATGGCACTTGTCGCTCTCGGCCTCTGTCCCCCGAGTCCTCGCCGCAGCCGAAGGTTCCGCGCTCTGCCGCTTTGCTGTGGTCTGGGCTGGGGAGGCGGGTCTCCGCTGTGCGGCCCAGCCGCTCGCCTCCCGAGAAAACGTCAGGATTCACCCAAGAGAGTCGAGGCGACAAACGAGGAAAGGTCAATTTACTCGTCTTGCGGATGCGCACGCTTCTAAGTAGAGGCTCCCGGGGTGCGGAGAACTAGCTGTCATTCTCCTGCCTGTTGAGTGGCTCCTAAATTGCGTGTCCAGTCTGATAGTTGCCGTGTGGGCTACACTTTGTAAGGATACCGAGAACGTGAGCTGGCTTTAAAAGACACGACTGTTTCACTCTTTTCTTGATATTCTTGAGAGCGGGTCTCTCATAGCCTAAAGTAAACACAGAATTCCCAGCAACCCTCCTGCCCAGCCTCCTGAGGCTGACATTAGAGGTGTGGGCCACCATGCAAGAATTCATTCTGTTCCTTTATGTTACGAGTGGATTCCGTCAACTTGAACATCTGAGCCAGTGACTCATCAGAATCATCCTGGAGGGTTGTCAGAATACAGATTGATGGCGCCTGCCTCCAAGGCTTGTGATTTAAGAGGTCTGAAGTGAACCCAAAAAGTTTACCTTTCTAATAAATTCTAGGTTCAAGGTGTTGCTGGCTGGGTATAGCCCATTTTTTTCTAAATGCTATAATTTTTAACTGCCATCATTGCTCTATCTTCTGTTTACAAAAGCAGTAATGCTTTTTTAATTTTATAGGAAATGAACTAGCATGTGTGTTTTTCTGTGTACACCCAGCTGTCGTGGAATTCTTTCTGTAGACCAGACTGGCCTTGAACTCAAGAGAAAGAAGCTAATGATGTCTTTGAGCTTAGAAACTTTTGTTAGTTTTAACTGTTGTGGTCTAATGTAGCCCAGGCTGGCTTACTAGCAAAGGAGAGGTTTGGACTCTAACCATCCTGCCTCCATCTCCAGTGTGCTGTCATTACCGGCATGGACCATTATGCCCAATTTTTGAGGTGCTGGGAATGAAACCGAGGACTTCACACATATATGAAGCACTCATATGCCTGAGTTATGTTCCCAGCCTCTATGTTTGCTCTATGTTGGATAAAATTTACTTAGACCAATTATCATTACTAATTATTTCCTGGGTGTTGTTTGTCTTTCCATGTACAAACTCAGAAGTTTTCATTTATTGTATCTCACAGTGCCTAAAAAAAAAGTTTCTCAGGGCATCTCCAAGTCATTGCCACTAACCTGGGAAGAAATTACCATTCTTTCCAATATGATGTTTAACTCCAGAATTCCTTCAAGAATTCTAAAGCTGGGCTAGAGAGAGGGCTCATTGGTTCAGAGCACTGTCTGCTCTTTCAGAGGTCCTGAGTTCAATTTCCAGTCACCCATGTGGTGGCTCACACCATCTATACCGGGATCTGATGCACTCTTCTGACCTGCATGTATACATGCAGATAGAGCATTCATCTACTTTAAATAAATAAATAAATCTTTAAGGGGGGGGGGTGTAGAAAAAAAGAGTTCTCAAACTGACTCCAGCTTCCTTCTTTCCCCCTTTCCCTGCCTCCCCACCACTTTTGTTGCTTTCTTTTTTTGCTGAGGCTTGGAGATGGGGTCCTTGATCATGCTAGACACATACTTTACCATTGATCCCAGTCTCTGTGTTCTTGCCCATCCCCACTGTTCTACTTTGGGCCATTATCATGTCTCTAAAATATTACAAGTCATTCACAGTTATTTTTCTCCCATAGCTCTCAGTACCCCATAACTAATGGTTTACTTTTTGGATTCCTGTCAAGACTGCGGTTTTGTTTGCTATCCCTAGTAACTAGCAGGAGTGCTTGGGAAACAGTTGCTGAATGACTAAGCATTATCCTTGAACTATATGTAAAGGGTAACCATCTTTAAGAGAAATTCAGAGTCTTGGGCCAGAGAGATGGTTCAGCAGGTAAAAGTTGTATGGCATGGGACCACATAGTGGGAGGAGAAAATATCTCACGAATTTGTCCTCTGACTCTCACAAGCACACGCTCACACACACACAGGTGTAAGAAAATATAATAAGAGTCATGTGTTTTCTTGTTCCTAGACCGGTTAGGTCAGATGTCAGATCAAAATCATACGTACCCTGAGATAACTGCTGGGCTCTTTCACTAACTAGAGCTCCTTTTCCCTGTAGATTAGGCTGGTATACATTTTGGTGTTTTATTTGAGTCGGCTAATGGCTCATACTTTTTTTACGTGCTTTGAGATCACTGTTGAATACAGTAATCACAAAATAGGACTGACGTACTTTTGGTGCGTCACAGCCGCCTGCAGCTCCAGCTTTGGTGGAAGGGCCCAGTGTCGCCTTCTGACCTCTTATCTTTTCCCAGTCTAATTGTTTCCCTTTCTGTAGCTATCCTTAGAGCTGTTGTAAGAACTAAGCCTTTACACTAATAAATGAAGTGCTAAGCTAATTTCTGAGTTTAAATAACAAGACAGCCCCAGCAGCTCTATTTTTCATACATGGTTCTGCATTTCAGGGAATTTAATGAAGAAAAGAACGGAGTCTCTAGAGACCCATTCATCTATGAGGTATGAACAATTTATTTGGTTTTAAACACAATGATCCTAAAAATCGTAGCTTTTTAATCATGTTTTTTTTAATTAATTTACATATGCTAAATTTTACCCCTTTAGGAGATAGTCTTTGAATTTTGACAAATAGCTTCAGGAGTGCACCTGTCCCCATTATCAAAATATACACAACTTCATGTCTAAAAATGTACTCATTGTAGAGGAATTTTAATTCAGAACCTGGTTGCTCTGGCAAGAGATCACATCCAAAGACCTAGATCTGTGTGATTTGGCTGGAATACAAACACACCTTTAATGCAAGAGACAGAGGCAAGCAGGTCTCAGTTCAAGGTCAGCCTGGTATAGAGGAAGTTTCCAATAAAGAAAAGCTTTTCCAGGTGTGGTACACACCTTTAACCCCAAACATGAAGATGAAGTTAACTTGTAGAAGGAAGCACCCATGTTTGAAAGTGATGTCTAATTGAGTGGCAGAAAAGGTGACGAATCAGAGAAAGACTTGATAGAGTATGATCTGCCTAACTCTCTTGAGAAGAGAAAAAAAGGGAAGCTTCTTAATGGACAAGAGAGAGGAGGCAGTTTTATTGGGAGAGTTTTACAGAGAGAGGAAAACAGCAAGCCAGAGAATGAAAAGGAGCCAGAGTAGAAAAGGTTGCAGGAGTTAGTTTGAGACCAAGCAGAACAATTTAGAAGCTGAGAGAAAAACCAAATTGAATAAGTCAGCTGGGAGAGGAGTTTGAGCCAGAACAGCTGAGCTGAACCAGCCAGCCGACAGCTCAGTAAGAGCAAGAAAGGGTGAGCTTATTAAGCAGTAAGTGTCAGAGGCTGAAAACACTCTAGGCCTAGGTTAGATTGTACGGAGGCTAGAGACTCCCAGGACGAGGCCTCGGTTAGCAGATGGAGGCAGTGAGCCTCCCAGATAACAATTCAAACAAGCATGTTTTGAATTCTTTTACAGCTCATGTTCCTGTATAAGCGTTTTCACGTATCTAGTACCTGTAGCTGCTAATTTGCTTCCTGTCTCCATAGTTTTGCCATTTCCAGAATGTCGGTAAAGAAAAACATATGGTTTCTTAGCTTTAGCTTTCTTTTTTGTTTGAGGCAGGTTCCCGCTGTGTAGCCTTGGCTTTCCTTAAACTTGATTTTTAGACCAGGCTGGCCTTGAGCTCAAGAGATCTGCCTGCTTTGCCCTCTGAGTGCTAAGATAAAAGACATGTGCTACCATGCCTGGCCCAGTGTTAGCTTTTTAATTGAGTATACACAATTCAGAATCATCCTTGTTGCTATGTTTCAATAGTTCATCTTTTTACTGTTAGTGTACTAGTTTGGTTATCCAGTCATGGATTGAAAGACGGGCTGTTTGCAGATTTTTATAAGTACGAATACAGTTGCTGCAAATGCTTATATATTTATTAAGAATCTTGACTGGGTGTGGTGGCACAGGGCTTTAATCCCAGCACCTGGGAGGCAGGGGTGGCAGATCTCTTGAGTTTGAAGCCAGCCTGGTCTTCAGAACTAGCTTCAGGACAGCTAGGGCTACACAGGAAAACTTTGTCTTGAAAAACAAACAAAAAAGGGAGCATACACAAAAAAAGAAGAATCTGGTATGTGTTAGATGTTCCATAGTTAAATTCCTCATAGTTGGGAAGATAAAATCTGTATCTGTGAGAGAAAGAACCAGTAAATTATTAAAAAAAAAAAAAAAATGGCTAGGGGCTGAAGAGATGGCTCAACCGTTAAGAACATTTGTCTTGCAGAGGACCTGAGTTCAGTTCCCAACACCGCATTGCAACTCATTGCAACTCAACTGTCTCTTAACTCCAGCGCCAGAGAATCTGATGCCTTTTTATGACTTCTGCGAGCACGAGGCACACTCGTGATACAGACATACATGCAGGCGAACAGACACATAAAATAAAAATGAATAATTTTTTTCTAAAACCAACCAAATAGGGAGAAATAATTGAGTGGAGGTTAATGTCTATACATATCTACAATTACATAGGTACATGGGTAAAAAAAATTTTTTTAATTTAAAAATCAGCAGAAGGATAAAAACTAATAAAAAGACAAAGGACACGAATGAATGCAAAATACAAATGCCATTCTCTCTCTCTTTTTCTCCAGACAGGGTTTCTCTGTGTAGCCTTGCCTGTCCTAGACTGACTTTTTAGACTAGGTTGGCCTGGAACTCGGAGATCTGCCTGCCTCTGCCTCCCTGAGTGCTGAGATTAAAGGAGCTGCAGTTCTCTTTCGCTGTTAGAGTTCTCACTAATCAGACTAAGAAACCAAGCACAGTCCCACCTGAGCAGGGCTCTCTGAGTTCTTCCTCTGGGCTCTGGGTTCATTTTCTACAGCTGCAGTAGAAAGTCTTAAGTAGCTTCAAGCCAAATTCATTTTCTTAACAGTTCTGGAGACGAAAGGTGTGAGATGAAGGTGTAGGCAGATCGTGTTCCTCCTGGAGGCTTCAGAAAGCAACTCTTCCTGGATTCTTCCTGCTTGTTCCCAGCAGTCTCTGGTGTTAGATGGACCCTACTCCCCAACTCAAGTTAATCTTCAGCTTAACTTGATTACATTTGCATATAAGGTCACATTTGCAAGAATTGGGGTTAGTGCTTCTGGGTATCTTTAAGGGACAGAGCTCAGCCCACAATAACTGAAATTTCAAAGGCTAGACTAACAATATCCTGACAGTATCCATGTTCTCTGAACTGGTGTCCACAAGCTTCCGTGTCCGAGATTCAAATAAGCAGGGACAGTTACTGTTAAGTACATTGGAGAATGGTCACTTTAATTAGGGGTCAAGTACGTGACAGTATGCCTACTGCTAGATGATGAAAGTAGCCATTGTGTTAGTTAGCTTTTCTGACATATTTGAGGGACAATTTGGCTTACCAGTATGATTTTAGGTACTCATTTTTAAAAGTAATTCATGAATATTCAGTGTTTTTATTACAACACTTAACTAGAAACTACCAAAACATAACGTAGTATAGAATTACTATACACCAGTAGAGCTGTGGTCTTAGGTATCCACAGGCCCTTAATAACAAGGAAGGCGATTCATGATGTGAAATCTCTAGAACATCTTATCTTGGTCATATGAATCATAACTGGATATCTGTTAGATGAGTATAATAGTTGACTCCCCAGAACCCACATAAAGCTGGAGGCAAGAACAGCTCCTGCAAGTTGTCCTGAACCTCCAAATGTGTGCCCGTCATACGCATGCATAATAAATTTATTTTTAAAGAAGACCGGTAAAAAGCTGCTTTCATGTTTTTATACAATGTATGTGTAGTACATTAGACACAAAGACACTTTATGAACTGAAGTTACATAGTTTCATAGTCCCCTAGAAGAAAGGGTGGTATTTCTTGCTGTTTCTATCACATATGATACTGTGATTGGGGAAGCTGTCAGTGAAGGCCTAAGAGGACTTTGCAAGGCGGCCATCTTCAGGTGGACTTGGAAGTGTGGCGAGATGGCGAATACAAGCTAGATTTCTGTGTGTGCACATGCACGTGTGCCTGCGGGTGCATGTGGAGGCCCCCGGGGTCTCCTGGCTGCCTGCACAGCCCTGGAGGCACAGGTGCCTGCCCTGTGCTCAGCCGAGCACAGTGAGCTTGTGCAGCAGACCTTTCCAGCTGTCAGCCTGAGCATGAGAAATATGGCAAAATAAGTGAAACCTTTCAAAACCCTGCCTAGTTCAAATGCCTTTTTTAGTAATTTCCATGTGACTGGTCTGTAGTGGTTAAATTACACATAAAAATACTGCGATCCGTTTTTGACAGGGCGATGTGCAAGTGCAGTTGGTCAGCCAAGGCCAGCCAAATCTTCTGAAAGCTTTTCTGAATGAAAATGACGCAGTGTTTCTTGTGGAAAAGGTGGTAAGTCTTGGGCTTTGTGGTTAATTCTTAGCAGCTAAATTTGCTTCTTTGGGGAATAATCTCATACTGCATGTTTTCCTATTAATGAAGGTGGACACTAAGTCTTAGGAGTAGGCACGGTCCTTTTTATAGTAGTTTAAAAACAAAGCTGGGTGTGGTGGCACAACCTTTAATTTCTAGCACTCTTGAGGCACAGGCTATGGCTGGGTGTGATGCTGAATACCTGTGATCATAGCATGTGAACCCTGTGTCTAAATAAATAAGTCAATAAAAGGTAAAATTGAGGGCTGTGTACTCTTAAGCTCATATCCCAGAAACAGGTTGTTCCATTGGGAAGTGAAAAAATACCTGCATGTGGACATCTCCAGTGGCTCTCCTTTAGCTCATCATGCTGTGCCTGTTAGAGCATTTTCTACTGTCTTTGCTTCTTTTACAGTCAAGATTTTGGGGGCTGAAAGTTGGCTCAGCGGTTAAGAGCACCTGCTTTTCTTGCACAGGACCTGGGTTTGGTTTGGAGCATCTACATGGCAGCTTCCTACTGTCCGTAACTCCAGGGCCAGTACTCTTAACTGCTGAGCCATTTCCTCAGCCTCCTGTGTAGCTATTTTCTAGCACAGAAGAGAATTGACTCTTCTATCTGATTAAATACTTTAAAACATTTTTAAAGCTTTTGGAGAAGGAAGAAACAAGTCATGTTGAAGAACCACAGTCTGAAGAAACTGCTATTTCTGATTTCTCTACTGATGAAAATGTTAGGCCTCTGGCCTTGCCAGTTTGGAGAGCAAGGTAAGTTATGTGTGTTTGTTTTGTGTTTGTAGGTTTAGGGTTAGGGATAGAGAATGGGGTTTGAGTTGAAACACTGGGACTGAGGATGAAGCTCAGTGTGTAGACTGCTGGATCAGCATGCATGAAGCCTTGGGGTTGAGCTCCATCACTGCATAAAGCCACACATGGTGGCACACACCTCTAATTCTAGCACTTGGGAGACAGGAGGAGAATCAGAACGTGAATATGAATATTCATCCTTGAATATGAAATAGGTTTGCCGCAGACTTAGCTACATAAAGACCCTGATTCAAAAGGAAAAAATATTTGAACCATTTCTCATTCTTCTAGACATTGGAAAACTGCACCTAGCCCTAAGGTATCTCCTGTCTTCCTCTCGCCTTCCCATCAGAACAATGTGCCTAGTTCTCTAAGGACTAGTCCTCCTTAGATACTCTGTCGCAGCCCTAACATTACCTACAAGACTGCAGTCACTTTCCTCTTTCCCGCCTTCCTCTGCTAGGTCATTTCTGTTGCATTTTGTTTGCCTTGAATCTAGCCTAGTCCCCTTCTAGTCTCTCTTCCTTACTGCTGCCAGAGTTCCTTTTTTAAAATGAAAGCGTGATTGTGTTGCTTTGATACTTAGAGTCCTGCCTAGGTTCTTCATTGCCTTCATGGTAAAATCTACTATCATTATGTTCATAGGAGCCTTCATTTCCCAACTAAACCCAGAGGTTCTCCACCAGGGACAGTACCAGGTTGGCATTGAAACTATTCAAGAGTGTTTTTAGGGTTCACAATGACTACAGGTCTGCATTTAGTCGGTAACTGTCCTATACAACATGAATTATCATGTTCAAGAAACTAGGATGCTTCTAGAATATACATGTTTGCTTCTTAAACTTTCTGTCTTGCCTTCCTGCTATGTACATACGTGGTGGCCTCCACCTTGTCACCTGCAACCCAACTCTGCCTTCAGGGAGTTCTGGAGGATAGAGCAAAAGGGTCTAACATAATAGAGAGCAAATGCTATACATAGAATATGTGTGTGTGTGTGTGTGTGTGTATAACATATTAATATGTATGTGCATGCATGCTGGTTAAAGTTTTCTTTTGTGGCTTCTTGGGCTATTGTCCTATGTGGCCTCTTTTCTCTCTTCCCTAGGACTTAGGCATTATTTGGTTTTCTGCTGATACGGTGTGTGTGTGTGTGCGTGTGCGTGTGCGCGTGCGCGCGCGCGCGCTCACACACATGTATATGTGGGGGGGAATGCCCATGGATATACAGGTCAGGTGACAAACCTCAGCTGTTTGTTTGTTTGTTTGTTTGTTTGTTTTAAAGATTTTATTTATTTTATGTATAAGTGTTCTATCAGAATCCAGTATAGGTATTTGGAAGTCACCATGTGTTTGCTGGGAATTGAACTCCGGACCTTTGGAGGAGCAGACAGTGCTCTTATGCACTGAGCCATATCTCCAGTGCTCACATGTTGTTTCTTAGGTGCAGTCCAGGATCTTTTATGGCCTAGAACTTGCCAGATAGACCAGGAGGGCTGACCTGATTCTAGGATCCTCCTGTCTCCCCCTCTCCAGTGCTGGGATTAAATAGTGCACCAGTCACCCACACCCAAATTTTGTTTTTATTTATATGTTTATATATATGTATATGTGTCTGTGCATGCATGCCACATGTGCATGCTACTGTGGAGTTCAAAAGGGTAGTTAGATCCCCTGGAGCTGGAGTTTTAGTTATGAACCACTGGGCATGGCTGCTGGAATAAACTAGTGTTCTTAACCAATAAGCTTTCTCTCCAGCCGCTCTGGAACACACGTTGTAGCCTAGGCTGGCCTCAGGCTCACAGTGATCCACTTTCCTCCTAAGTTCTGCAATTAAAGGCATGCACCACCACTGCCCTGCATGTGTGTTTTAACATGGTTCTGGAGATGACCTCAGGACCTTATGCTTGCAAGGGAAGCACTTCATCAACTGAGATGGCTCCCTAACCCTGTCACTTCTTGCTTTTCTACTTCTTTATGCCTTTCATACTGTCTTAAGATTTTTTTAAGATTTCAAGTTGAATGCCTTAGAAATTCCTTTCTTGAATATATGATAGTAAATTGTTTCTGTCTCTTGGAAAAATAGAAATTTAAGCTGCATTTTTTAGTCGACCTTTAATTTTGAGATATATATGTTTCATTTTGAATGGTAGAAAGACTTCTGTATACCTTATTGCATGTGCCAGAGCCTGCCAGCAGAGCGAAATGGTTCCTGAGTGGGGAATAAGGACTGAAATAATTAAAGCAAGTCACACTACACACGGGATGGGCTTGTGAGGGCTGTTAGTAAGACTGCAGCGTGAGTTTATTCCACAGTTCCTTTTTTATAAACAAAGCAAAACCAAGTCACATCAATACAGGAAAGAAGTTCTTGGAACTGCCAAACTTGTTTTCTGAAACTACTTCCCTAGAGTAGATATGGTCCAAGGTCACACAAACAAGCTTTAAGGAACTTGGCAAAACTTCCTCTTTTCTCTTGTCTCAAGGTGAAGGCCAGGGTGAAAGCATGTTTTTCACTAAATAACAAAGCAGCTTGATAAACAAGCAGTTCTCTACATGTATGTTCACCAGTTGTGTATATTTGATATGTCTATATTGTCACTTTTCTCTTATAGCAACGATAGATTTATGTATGCAAAGTAGTATATGGTACATGTTTATAGAATATGACATGTTATATTTTCATATTTTTATGTATATAACTTTAATTTTTTAATTATGCAGAGGTGGTTTATGCATGCAAGGCCTCTGTGGATGCCAGAAGTATTGGATCCCCCTGGCGCTAGAGTTATAGGCAGTTCTAAGCCACCCAGTGTGGGTGCCGAGAACTGACCTCTGGTCCTCTGCAAGAGCAGCGCATGTTCTTAATTGCTAGACTTGTAACTAGTAGACTATATAGTATTCTTCTCTTGCTGGACTATGTAAACACACAGGTATTCCCGTCCTATCTCGTCATTTCCAGATTGCTGTTTCTGTGAGGCCCTCCACATTAACTTTTTTAGATAATTGGGGGTGGGGATTAAATGTAGGGTTATTTTCATTTTCACGTGCATTGGTGTTTTGCATGCATGTCTGTGTGAGAGGATCAGATCTTAGAGATACAAACAGTTGTGAGCTGCTATGTGGGTGCTGGGATTTGAACCTGGGTCCTCTGGAAGAGTGGAAGAGCAGTCAGTGCTCTTAACTGCCATCTCTTCAGCCCTGGGGTTTCACACATTTAAGCATGTGCTCTACCACTGAACCACACCTTCAGCTTCAAGGATAATATTTGATTGACACTTTATAATTGGTTTTTCTATCTTTTGTTTTCAAGGCAGTTAATTGGGCTTTATACCATGGCTCACAACCCTAATATGACCCATTTGAAGATTAAACAACCAGTTACTGCCCTTCCTCCTCTTTGGGTGAGATGTGACAGTTCAGACCCTGAAGGTACCTGCTGGCTAGGAGCAGAGACTGTCACAGAAAAAGACGTCATTACAGGCATTGTTTTATATGTAGTCACTTGTAAAGGTGAGTGCTCAGTCTTGCTATTTTTATTTGCATAGTTTGGTGGTACTTTTGAACTTCCATACAAGAAGGGAGTGTGACAGCGAGCACTGAGCATCAAGTTTGCGTTCAACAGCAGGGATGAGGTATTGCAGAAATTCCTGAAAGTCTGTGCCTACTTTGTTTGGGTTTAATTTGTACTTTTTTTAAAATTTTTATTTAAAAGCCTAAGCTGGATCTGGTGGTGTATAGCTTTAATTCCAGCACTCAGGAGGCAGAGGCAGGTGGATCTCATGAGTTCCTAACAGCCAGGGCTATGCAGAGAAACCCTGCCTGGAATGAATGAATGAATGAATGAATGAATGAATGAATGAATGATTACATTTTTAGAAGGAGTGGGTTAAAGCAAGGTTGGCTTGAACTTATTATTCTCTGCTTCTGCCATGGTATAAAGTCCAATTATTCATAGCTATGCATCTCCACCTAGACTTTTTTTCATGTTGGTTTTTTGTGGCTCAGGCTAGTCTTAAACCCGTGGGCGCAAATGAGCCTCCCACTTTAGACTCCTAAGTATGGGACTTCTGGGCACACGCCAGTGTGCCTAGCTATTAAATTTTCCATATATATTTGTTAGTGTACATTTGTTTGCAGAGTGCTGTTATAGCTCAGTCTGGTCTCAAATTCAATATTTTTCAGCCTCAACCTCCAGAGTAGCTAGGATTTCAGATGTGAGTTTCCATGCTTTCCTTTAATTACCTATATTTTTTTGAGACAAGGCCTCACTAGGTAGCCCTGGTGGGCCTTAACTCAGTACACTGACTAGAGTGGTTTGGAACTCAAAGAGATCCACCTACCTCAGTCTATTGAGTGCTAGGATTAAAGGCATGTGCCACCATGCCTACTTAATTATGTTTTTTTAAATTAAAAATAATTTTTTTCATACAAAAATATATTTTGATCACAGTTTTTCCTTCCCCAATTCCCAGATTCCCCCCATTTCCCTAAACACTGAACTCTACTTTCTTTCTCTATTTAACACTCTTGTTTGATTTTTTTGTTTTTGTTTTGAGGCAGGGTCTCTCTTTGTAGCCCTGACTGACCTGGAACTCACTTTGTAGACCAGACTGGCCTCAAACTCACAGAGATCTGCCTGCCTGTGCCTCTTTAGTGCTGGGATCAAAAGCATACACCACCACCACCTGGCATAACTTTCTTGGTTCACCAGTATAATTTGGAATTAAATCTCCCCCTCTTTTTTTTTTTTTTCATCTCATTTCCTGTAGCTAATAAAAATTACTCTGAAGATCTGGAAAATCTAAAATACTTACACAAGAAAAGACATCACTTGTCTGCTGTGAGTATTTTTCTTGTTAGCTTACTTAGACTGTGCTTGGCTGACCTGCCTTCCTCATTTAACAACTTTCTTCTCCCTCTCATATGACCAGATGTTTCTCTGTAGTGTTAGAGTTTTTTGTCTTTATTTTTTACCAGTCAGAGCACAGTTTTTGTGTTTTGTTTTGTTTTGTTTTGGTAGCTTTGGGGTTGGCTCTAGGACCGTGCATATACATTCTGTATGTGTGTTCTTCTCTCTTTGGCTAATGTTTGTGGCTTAAAAGAACTGTCTTAGTTTTTCATTTTCTTTTGGGACAGAAATCAAAGTGATTTTTGATAATGGTTTGGTTGTGTGACGATGTTGCTAATCTTCCTGTCTTCAGGTAACAGCCAGGGGCTTTGCCCAGTATGAACTCTTTAAGTCTACTGACCTGGATGAGATTGTCACCCCATCCCAAACTACGGTCACTTTGGATCTTTCCTGGAGTCCTGTGGATGAGATTCTTCAAACCCCTCCCTTGTCTTCAACTGCAACTCTGGTAGAAACGGACTGTCTTCTCTTTAGGTTCCTTAGGCTCCTGAGTGGTTGTTTACTTGTTTATTGCTAGTTCTCTATTCTCCTAGCCCTGCCTGACATTTGCTGAAGGTTAGGCTGTACCACTCAGAAAACCTTGATTGGCTCCCAGGATCTTACCAGACAACCAGTGAAGGCTTTGCCAAGGTAGCTGAACTGGCAGTTGCTCATAACCCTGTTACTGTGGAACTTTACTTTCAAGAGATGATTACAGTCTCTTGCATGGAGACTTAACGCAAGTCCGCTTTTTTCTGTTCCCAGGCACAGTGGTTGATGCTTTTAATCCCAGCACTCAGGAGGCAGAGGCAGGAGTTCCAACACAGCCAGAGCTACACAGTGAGACCCTGACTCAAAAAAAAAAGAAAGAAATTAAAATTGCTAACAAAAAGCTGAGTTCTCAAAACATTAAGAACAGAACTTGCTGAACACTCATTTAACAAAAAAAAAAAAAAAAAAAAAATGGCTACGGGCCTGGAGAGGTGGCTCTGCAGATAAGAACACTGTTGGCTCTTTCAGAGGTCCAGAGTTAAATTTCGAGCACCCACCCACATGGTGGCTCAGCCATCCATACTGGAACATGATGCCCTCTTCTGTCATGCAGGTGTATGTGCAGATAGAGCCCTCATATATAAAATTAAAAAAAAATGGCTAAAATGAGTTTTCATAATGATATACTGTGTAGACTATTAAAATTAAGATTATTTTTAGTGGAGCTGGAGAGAGAGCTCAGCAGTTAAGAGCACCCACATGACAGTTCATAACTGTAACTCCTGTTCAAGGGGATCTGGCACACTCAACGTACATATTTGCAGGCAGAACACCAGTGCACATAAAAAGACAAAATGTTTAAGTTTATTTATTTTTTTTGTATTGACTCTAAGTCTTATGCATAACGTAATGGGCATAGTTGACTTATGCCCCATAAGAAGCTAGCCCACTGCTTCTGGAATTAAAGGTGGTTGTGAGCTTCCCAACGTTGGTGCTGGAAATCAAACTGAGGCGCCCTGCATGAGCAGCATGTGATCCTAACTACCGAATGTAAAGGAATTTTAATTCAGGACATGGCTGCTCTGGCAAGAGATCACATTCAAAGACCTTCTAGGTTTGTATGATTCAGCTGGACTACAAACACATCTTTTATGCAGGAACGGAAGCACACAGGTCTGAGTTCAAGGCCAGCCTAGTATTAAGCAAGTTTCAGGTAAAGAAAAGCTTAGGTGCAGGCATGGTGGTACCCACCTTTAATCCCAAACAATGAAGGTAAAGTTAGTTTGTAGAAGGAAGCACCCATGTTTGAAAGTGATGTCAAACTGAGTGGCAGAAAAGGTGAGACTAATCAGAGAAAGATTTGTCAGAATAGGGCACAACCAACACTCATGAGAAGAGAGAGGAAAGGGAAGACTTAAGGAGCAATGGAGAGAGAAGGGCGTGGGGGGATTGTTGCTGTTTTACTGGGAGAATTTTATAGAGAGAAGTTGAATGAGAGAACAGGCTAGACACAGGTGAAGGCAGAACAAGCGACCAGAGAATAAGGAACCAGGAGATTAGAAAAAATTGCTGGAGTTGTTTGAGGCCAAGCAGAACAATTTAGTCCCTGAGAGAAAAACCAGATTGAATAAGTCAGCTGGGAGAGGAGTTTGAGCCAGAACAGCTGAGTTGAGCCAGCCAGCCAAGAGCTCAGTCAGCAGTGGATATCATAGGCTGAAAACACTCTAGGCCCAGGTTAGAGTATATGGAGGCTTGAGACTCCCAGGACTAGGCCTAGGTTAGCAGACGGAGGCAATAATCCTCCAAGACAACAATTGAACCAGGAAAATAAAAGTTGCTTTTACAACTGAACCATTTCTCCAGGACAACACCCTAGTGCCCATACCAAGCCCCTGCCCCCCCATTTTTTAAATTGAGGCAGGCCAGTATCAGGCATGTTGAACTCTGGGAGTTCCAGGCCAGGCACAGGTACACAATATGATCCAGGTTCTAATGCTGGCCTTACACTTGCTGCTTAATCCAGACTGGTCTTGAATTTGTGACTTCTTGCCTTAGTATCCAGAGTAGCTGGGACTATAGACCTGCAGCACCAGGTTTGGCTCTTCTACACCATTTTAAAATTATTATTTTTTAAACTGGGTGGTGGGTCCACATACCTTTAATCCCAGCAGTTAGGAAGCAGAGGCCAGCGGATCTCTGTGAATTCCAGGACAGCCAGGGCTACGTGGAGAAACCCAGTCTTGAAAAACCATAGGAGACAGGTTTTAAAAAGTCTAGGGCTGGGGTTATAGCTCAGTGGTAAAGTACTTGCCTAGATCCAGTCACTAGGCTGCATGGTGTGCGGATAGATACTGAAAAAGAACAGGAAAATCTTTTTAAGCACAAGTTAGAAAGAGAAGTGTACAGAATAACATGTACAACTATGGATGTCAAGTATGTTTTGTGTAAAAAAAAAAAAAAAAAAAAGGTGTATCCAAAAGCATCATATAACACTGGCTTTCTTAGAGGGTAGGATTGTAGGTAATTATATTTGTGTTTTTCCTCTCCTGTCGTAGGAATTTTGTTTTTAAGGATTTAAGGTTATAAAGCTGTAGCTTCTAGCTAGACTAGTGTGTTGGTTTAGTTAGTGTGACACTGATTTATTGGGACTTGGTGTTCAGTGTGTTGTAATGCTAAGTATCACTGAGATTTGAGCTATTTATTTAAATTTCTCCCACCTGTCCTCTTGGAAATTCCCTGAGGAAAGGCAGAGAGCATGTGAAGGAGGCAGTTCTATCTTCCTGGTCCCAGAGGAGGGTAGTGGCCTGGTTCAGATTGTATGTCAGGATAGCTGGATCTGTGAGGTGTTGCAGTGCCATCTGATTGTGGTGTGGACATAATTTAATTTACTGTATAGTTGAAAAGCAAGTCACAGTGGACAGAGAAGATAGGTTGCCAATGAAAACTGATGGGTCTTGGATGTTTTTTAGAATATCAGAGTACAGTCAGGAGAGTCCAGCAGTCGTTTGAATCACCTCCACAGAGAACTGAAATTTCTCCTTGTGAGTATCCTTCTGAATTTTTTTCCTTGAATTACATACTGTTGTGAAAAATGTTTCACAATGTAACTATGTCTCTCTTTAAAATGTGTTGTAAATGTTGCATTTATTATAGGTGACAATGTGGACAGTTACTCATGTGGTGTCAAGATGAAAGGGAGTGCCACTCAGATAACAGCCACAGTCTTCACCAGTCTACTTGACTGCTGAATTGTGCAAGCCACCACTTCAATTAGTTTTAAAACATTTCATTACTCCTAAAAGAAACTCTGTGTCCATAGTACTTTTAGCACTCACCAGTCTGTGGCAACCACTAATCTGCTTATAGTGTTGTGTGACTTTTGATTGTCAAATAGCATCTAACTTACGGCTATACTGTTGCATTGTGTTCATCCTTTTATCAGCTAATAAACATTTCAATTTTTTGTACTTTTGGCTTTAGGAATAATATTGGAAGCCAGGTACAGTGAGTGGCCAAAATTGTAATCCCAGTACTTGGGAGGCAGAGGCAGGCAGGTCTCTGTGAGTTTGAGGCCAGCCTGAGTCCAGGACAGCCAAAGCTACACAGAGAAACACTGTCTCGAAAAAAAAAAAGACATTGCTACAAATTTTTGTGTGACTGTATATTTTCTGCATTTCTGGTGAAGTTGCTAGGTCATAAGGCAACTGTTGAAACCATCCTTCCCTTTGACACTGACACACACACAGGGTCTTCAGAGTCTTCAGTCTTTTCAGATTCAGTCCTTGCGTTTTATAAGTGGATATAATTGTTTTTCTTTTATTCTTACGCATACCTGCCCTCTTTCCCTGGTGATCCTCTTTTTGTCCTAATTTTACTGCCCTTTTATCCTTTTTAAAATTTTATTTTATCTACTTTGTGTATGTACTTTAAATTATATGTATTGTGCAGTAGGTCAGAAGCCAGCTTGTGGATGGTGGAGATAGAACTCAGGTCCTCAGGCTTGAGAGCAAGCACACTTATCCTCTGAGCCATCTTGCTCATCCTCACGATGCTAATCAATTACAGCCCTCTCACCTCCTCTTGATACCCTCTCAAGACCAGGCATTGGTTTTCAGTAGAGACCCTGTGGGCCTTTCACACTGCCCATTCTTTGGGAATTGGGCCATACTACACATAGCAATATGTTTAATATTCCTGACCTTCACAAGTTAAATGTCTCAGTCATTTTGATACATAAAGATTATCTTTACCTTTTCATAGACCCCTCTGTAAGTAGGAAGTGATCTCTTTTCTGTGGAGTAACATTTTTCCCTCAGGGAATAAAGGAGTTGACTACTTAATCCTGTCAGTGGTGGATATGAAGCAAAAGCTTGTGAAGTTTCTCAGTCTTTTGGTCTGTTCTTTCTGTTTCTCGATGTTGTTCACTCTGGCATCATCCCTCATGATCCTTCCCCTCCTCCTTCCCTGCTGTAGACATTGGTTTCTGCTGAGTTGCAGCAGTGCTCACGTTGTTGCTGTGCCTAGGGTAGCCTCTCCTGACTGCTTTTCCTAAACTCTTAATTTTGTGTGTGTCTGCATGTGTAATTATATTGTGTTTGGATAAACTTGCTTTCAGTTTCACATTTGTGATTTCATTGTTACTTTATAATGTATTCTTTACCTAGGATCATATGTTATTCTGTGTGCATAGCATTACAGTTGAGAATACCATTCTAGAACCAACGTGCTGGAAGTGTATCCTGCTACTGTTTGTTATAACCTCAGCTAGTTACTGAAGCTTTCTTAGCCTCAGTAAAATGAGGGTAGAAGTAGTACCTGCCTCAGAGAGTTTTGTTGGGATTAAAGAACATATACAAAGTCCTGTGAGGATGCTAGCTAGTGGTCAGCATTCAAGAGCCCGTGCCATAACGCTGGAGAAAGGGCTCGACAGTTAAGAGTGCTTGTTGTTCTTTCAGGAGACCTGGGTTTGATTCCTAGTACCCACATGGTGGTTCATAATCATCTGTAACTCCATTTCCAGGGGATTCAGTGCCGCCTTTTTAATTCTGAAAGTACCAGGATGTGGCACACAAACATATGTGCAGGCAAAACACTCAATTCATGAAATAAAATAAATCAGAAAAAAATTGTTCTAAAGAACTGCTACCTTAGTTTGGCAGTGGTGGCCTTTGCCTTTAATCCCAGCACTTAGGAGACAGAGGAAGGAGAATCTGAGTTTGATGCCAGCCTGGTCTACAAGGGGAGATCTAAAGGTTACGCAGAGAAACCTTGTCTTAAAAAACCGACAGTCTAGAGAATAAAAGATAAGAAAAGAAAAACCATTGGGGGAGGGGAGAGAGGAAAAGCTGCTGCCTTAATTGGTACTGTTAAGCACATCTCTATTAATTAAGCTGTTGTTTCTGCTAACATGTTTTCTGGCTGTTAAATCATTCTCCAGGCTTTGGCTGATGGCTTGAGGACTGGTGTAACAGAATGGCTTGAACCTCTGGAAATAAAATCTGCTGTTGAACTTGTGCAGGAATTTCTAAATGGTATTTGTTTTCATAATTCATTCTTGTTGGTTGCTTGTTTTTAAGATGCTTGTTAATTTAAATAACAGTTGGTTCTAGGCTTTATATAGCTTTGAGTTAGAATACATTTAAAGCTGTGATCTGATATGGTTGGAGGGATGGCTTTGGTTCTAAAATGTCAAAGGTAGATGTTATTATAAAAATTATAAGATTGCGTTTGAACCAAGACTGGCATCACAGACCTGTCATCATAGCTGTTTGAGAGGCAGAGGAAGGAGCTTGAGCTCAGTGAGTTCAGTATCAAGATGGGCAATTTAGGGACACCTTGTCACAAAATAAAAAACACACGTAACAAGAGGACTGAGGATGTAGCTCAGTGGTAGAGCACTTGCCAGTTGTACTTGAGTGATGAAGTGGTATCTGTGTGTCCTCCCCATGCCTGTCATGTGTCACATTCCTTGAAGGGTAACTGCTCCTGCTGTTCCCATTTGCTGATTGAAAGCAGGATTAGGATGGAAATAATGTGGAAAGCAGAAAAATAAAGTTAAAGCTATAAGCTTTTTCTACTTTCTAGACTTAAATAAAGTGGATGAATTTGATGACTCTACAAAAAAAGACACACAAAAAGAGGTAAGCAGTTACTATCAGAAACATACCCTGCTTTTGAAATTTGGTGTACTGCTACCTTTCATTTTGTAGCATCTCTGATCTCCTGCATTTGTTTTTGTTGTTGAACTGCAGAGAGCAAAAACAGTTATATTAATAAATACACTGTAGAGAGTATTACTATAGTATACAAATACAACATAAAATGCTGTTACTATACCATAATGTGGCATTATGAAACTAAGATTCTTTCCATCTGTTGAAAAGGCAGGGGACAGAGGCAACTTAATATTTTCATGTAGAAAGAAAACTGAGAGCTTCCTTTTAAGCATACTGCTGCTGTTATTGTTTTGTGTTTGATTTTTGTTTTGAGAGCCATCTAGCTCAGGCTCTCATTTTACGTCTGCCTCAGCTTCCTGAGTGCTGGGCTTTATGGATATGTAGTTGCCACCATGCCTGGTTAATCAGATTTAAAACAACTTTAGGACTCTAGTTTTTTACTCTATGTCTCCTTATTAGTAAATGAAATTCTGAGGAAAATAACATTTATAAAATTCTTTGTGTGTGTTCATGTTGTCACAGCTTTCAGTGTTTAAAGCTTAAGCTACTTCACTTTAAAAGTAAATAAGTTGAGTATTCTCTGAATTTGCTTCTATTGTAGACAGTGAACCATGAAGCAGCAGCGGTTGACAGGTCTGTGCTTATCACAGTGCGGGGGGATCTCGATTTTGCCGAACAGCTTTGGGGCAAAATGAGCAGCAGTATGTATCCATAATTACAGTGGAGTTTTTTGTTTGTTTGTTTTAATTTTCTGTGTATTGGTATTTTGCCTGCATGTATGTATGTACATCACATGAGCTCTGCCTGCTTGCATAGGCCTGTAGCCAGCTTCAGATCTCTGGAACTAGGGTTAAAGATGGCTGTGAGCCATCATGTGATTCCTGGTATTGAACCCTGGTCCTCTGGAAGAGCAGCCAGTACTCTTAACCGCTGTGCCATCTTTCCTGCCCCTTCTCATGCCTTTTACATATAAAACTTAACTATGTTTATATGAGATATAAATATATTTACATGTAAATACATCAAAAATACCTAAATAAAATTATTTAAAACAAAATATATTCCCACCAAATATTATGTGGCAATCTGAACCAATCTTTTTGTCTTCTTTTTCCCTTCCATTTTAAATTCCCCTTCTAACAGATACATTGCAGGGTTTTTGCTTGTTTCATGTGTGTGCCATTAAAATTCTTGGACCAGTAGAGAAAATCAGAGTGAAAATGATTTTGTGTGTCTTGGTTTTTAAGGTGTGGTTTCGTATCAAGACTTGGTGAAGTGTTTCACATTGATCCTGCAGAGCCTGCAGCGTGGTGATATACAGCCATGGGTAAGTTGAATGCTGTGACTAGAGTGTTTTTCTCCGAAATATACAGAAATCAAACCAAACGAAAAGACCATGTTTGATAAAAGACTGGATCAAACAGTCTGAGTTGAATTCCAACTCTGCTACCTTCTAGCAGAGTTGTGTGAACTTGGGCCGCTTTACTTCTCTGGACCTCACTGCAGTGTGAGGGCTGGAGTCTGCCTTCGTCATAGTGTTGTGTAGGGGTGAGCTGATCTAATGCACGCACAGTACCTTGTGCCTGGCTGCTGATAACGTTGTCTGTTCTGGGGATGAATACTTTCATAGGCCACTGATGAGACTTAAAAACTAGGGTTCTCAGCCAGGTCTGGTGGCATTTGCCTTTAATCCCAGCCCTTGGGGGACAGAGGCAGGTGGATCTCTCTAAGTTCAAGACTGATCTACAAATCCAGTCCAGGAAAGCCAGGGCTCTGTACACAGAGAAATTCTGTTTCAAAACAAACCTAGTGCACTCTTTTTTAATTAATTAATTAATTAATTTGATTATTGCACTTTATTCACTTTGTACCCCAGCTGTAGCCCTCTCCCTCATCCCCTCCGAATCCTATCCTCCCTCCTCCTCCTGCCATGCCTGCCCCTCCTCAGTCCACTGATAAAGGAGTTCCTTCTCCCCTTCCATCTGACCCGTCAGGGCTCATCAGGACTGGCTGCATTGTCTTCCTCTGTGGCCTGGTAAGGCTTCTCCTCCCTCAGGGGGAGGTAATCAAGAGCCAGCCACTGCCTTCAATGTTAGAGACAGCCCCTGCTCCCCTTACTGGGGATCCCACTTGGAGGCTGAGTTGCCATGGGCTACATCTGAGCAAGGGTTCTAGGTTATCTTCATGCATGGTCCTTGGTTGGAGTATTGGGCCAAGATTTTTTGGTTCTGTTGATCTCCTTGTAGAGCTCCTATCCCCTCCAGGTCTTTATCTCCCCCTTCTTTTGTAAGATTCCCCGCCCTCTGCCCAAAGTTTGGCTATGAGTCTCAACATCTGCTTTAATGCCCATACTCTTTTCAAAGGAGTTTTGATGAGGGCTTGAGATTCTCAAAATGTAATATGATCTTTGAACCAAAAAAACAAAAAGAGTAGATTTTTGTCCATCAGAAGACTTGGTTTTGTTTATAGGAGCCAAAACCATTAAATGATGTACGTTTTCCTTGTTGATAAGATGTCTAAGTAACAATAATGTAGCCACGAAATGGTGTATATAATTGCGCTAAAACAGTGTTGACAAATGATTCAGAATACATATAACTTTATAAAATGTAAATTTTGAAGAAAAACAAACAAATATTTTGGCATCAGCTGGGCCAAATTCCTGGCAACAACCTCTAGGAGAAGCCTTGCAAATAACTGTGTCTCTGCACTTGATGAACGTTTTGTCACTGTATCAGTTTTCCAAAGTGTGGTTGTGTTACTTTTACACTGAACAAAAGGGTTACAAATAGCTTAACATGTTAACATTTAGAATTTTTGTAACAGTGTGAAGCCCTAAGTTTGATCCCCAGCACTAGGAACAATAATCGACTTTGAGTGTTGTGGAGAGAAATATACAGAACAAGCATGAGAGCTCACTCAGCGGGCAGCAGCAATTGTGGTGTTTACAGTTTAGCTAGTGAGATGAGATTCTGTGTTTGTGGGGTGTTGATTAGCATGAGCCTGCTGCATACAGTAAGTGCAAACCAAGAGAATCTCATTTTAAAAAACAAACGCAGAAGACTAAAGAAGCAAAGATACTAGAAAGTAGTAGCGCAGTGACATCTTAGAGATTTTAATATTTGTGGCTAGGTTAAGTCTGAATTGATAGCTCCTTCTAATTTGTAAATTACCTGTGATATTGGCTGTCACAGCTGAAGAGTAACTTTGTCCTATGACCTTGAGTTTGTGTTCCTTCAGTCTGCTTTTGTTAGTGAAAGTACAGAAGTTTAGTAAAAGATGCCCAATGGTGCTGATGTTGCCCAGGAAAAGAAGTCTTGGTTGCAAAGCTTCCAAGGACCAACTCTGACTTCTCTTTGGTAAAATTAAGCTTCCTACTTTAGACCTTCTTATGGTTGCTTTGGAGTTTTAAAACACAAGTGAAGTAGGAATGGCTTTTCTTTTTTTTCTTGGTTTATTAAAAAATTGGGTATCAAACTAAGTTTGTAGCTGAGGATGACAGAGTTTGAACTTCTGATACACCTGCCTCTGCCTTCTAAGTGCTGGGATTACAGACATATGCCACCATTCCCCTGTTCATATGGTCCTGGGGATGTTCCCACAGTTTTGAGCATGCTAGGCAAGCCCTCTAAAGTCAATCTCCAGCTGAGAGTGGCACCCTAGGAACTCAGGCTACTGTGAGGACTTTTATCGAAAGCATTTGTAGTGTCAGGAGGCTAAAAATGTACAATTATAATTTTGAACTCATAGTTTTATTTTGCCTGTTCCATGTATTTATACTTAAATTTAAGAATTCATAAGCTTTTTTCTATTTTTAGCTGCACAGTGGGAGTAACAGTTTACTAAGTAAGCTCATTCATCAGTCTTACCATGGAGCCATGGACAGTGTCTCCCTCTCTGGAACTACTCCACTTCAAATGCTTTTGGAAATTGGTTTGGACAAACTGAAGAAAGATTATATCAGCTTTTTTGTCAGTAAGTCCTTTTTTCCAACTTAAAAGCTTGAAAAACCTGTCGGTTGCCACTCATAAATACTCTTAGATTTTTACTTTCCTAGCCACTGTAAATCTGGCTTTGCCTTGGATTGGCTATGAGACACGCATTTTCCTTCTTGGATCCTGTTTCCTATTGATGGATATAGGTTAAACAGCTGTAGTGCTGGCTTTTTGCACTCAGGTGTGAACTTTGTGTGTTGAGGGTGTGTAGGGTGCCTGTGACATGTGCTGTGTGAAGACAATTTGCTGGAGTCAGTTCTTGCTCCCTAGGTGTATCCGGGCCCCAGCCCAGGCCATCAGGGTTGAAAGCAAGCGCCTTTGCCTGCTGAGCCGTCTTGCTAGCCTTCGTTAAAAGAGTTTTTTCAATACTTAACACTTAATACTTTTTTTATTAAGGGCAAACTATGATCAAATTTGAAATAAGTATTAGTATGTAATTATGGTATAGTTGAGCGATTAAAATAAATTGATTACCTCTTTTTTTTTTTTGGTTTGGTTTGGTTTTTTTGAGATAGAGTTGTGAGATAGAGTTTCTCGTGAGATAGAGTTTCTTGCTGTCCTGGAACTTACTATCTCGACCAGACTGGTCTTGAACTCAGAGATCTGCCTATCCCTGCCTCCCATGTACTGAGATGGGGTGTGTGCCACCACCACCCAGCTGCTTGATCGCCTCTCTCTATGAACTATAAACATTTTTCTTAGGTTCTTTTTATTTTTAAAATTTTATTGGAAAATTCCTAAAGCTTTTTGTATATGTTTTTCTTGATAGGTCAGGAACTTGCATCTTTGAATCATTTGGTAAGTTTCTTTCTCTCACATAGTCATTGTACCCACAGTTGCCAAGTGTCTAATGTGCCAGCTTCTGTTCTAGGAAGCATCAGTAAGCCAGCTGATGCTAGTTATTACGATTTCTTAAAGTAAGTTAAAAAGTAGCTTGTTGGGGCTGGAGAGATGGCTCAGAGGTTAAGAGCACTGACTGTTCTTCCAGAGGTCCTGAGTTCAATTCCCAGCACCCACATGGTGGCTCACAACCATCTATAATGAGATCTGGTTCCTTCTTCTGGCCTGCAGGCAGAACACTATATACATAATAAATAAATAAATCATTAAAAAAAGAAACTTTATAAAAAAAAAAAAAAAAGTAGCTTGTTCTTGTCATTCCTTTTCTCTTTGTATTTATGTAACTGATACGTAGTTTTATTTGTTGAAGCCAAAATTCTACCAAAACTCTTATCTAGAATGGTTAGGGAATCCATTTGCTCTGTGAGGGAGTATTTTTTTTTTTTTAATGTATTCTCTTAACTGGTTTGTATTATTTAAAGGATTACTTGCTAAAGCAGTTCGGACATTCTTTAAAGGTGCCGGCTCAGGTTCTGTAGGATGCCGTCCGCATGCAGCCCACCCCACAGCATGAGTGCTCACTCATGCAGAGTCAGTTAGTGGAGGAGTAGCTTCTTTGCCTCTCAGTCTTCTCAAGGCTAGCCTGGGCAGGTTTTTGTTGTTGTGTTTTTCAAGACCAGGTCTCTACATAGCCCTGGCTGTCCTAGAATTCCCTTTGTAGACCAGGCTGGTCTCACACTCAGAGACTCCACCGGCTTCTGCCTCCCACATGCTGGGGTCAAAGCATTGCCACTACTCCTGCTCTGGGAAGGTTTTTATAAGGACCAGATGATAATCTCCCTTTTTAATGGATAGTCCATTAGTGACCTAGTTATGGCAGTAAAACCACATCATGTTTGCAAGTTCTAGGCTCACTCAAGGGGAAGGAACTGTACAAACTGTGCACTCCAGGAGGCTAGAGTCTTGAAGGCTTTTGTCAACACTGCTTATCATTTCCACTATGGGTTATTAGGTTGAATCTCAAATAGAACAGGAAAGTTGAAAATTTCATGATAATTGCTTAGCTTGCCAAATTTCTTCTCCAAAAGCTGTGCCAATGGACCAATAATATGTGTGAGGAGAAATTTGTCAAATACTTGGTTAGTTTCTCAGACTTGGGTTCACCAAGTACAGAGCGATTCAGAGTGGTCTTTTAGAGAAGCCCTTTATGCTGTCCTCATAGTGAAAGGCGGTGAATTCTGTGGTCGTTCCCTTCCTTTCCCTCCAGACTTAGACTTCCCAGAGGCTCTGCTCAGTCTTTGTTTCCTTACTCTCTTTGTACTTCTTTCTTCCAGGAATACTTCATTTCTTCATCAGTTACCACACAGGAACAGGTTTACCGTGTTCAGAAACTCCACCATATTCTAGAAATACTGGTCATCTGCATGCTTTTCATTAAACCTCAGCATGAGCTTCTCTTTTCTTTAACACAGTAAGTTTTTTTTGTTTTGTTTTTTTGTTTTTTTTTTTTTTCTTTGAGACATTGTCTCATTTGTAGCCTAGGCTGGCTTCACACTCCATGTAATCCTGCCTCAGTTTCCCAAGTGCTGGGATTAGAGGTGTGAGTCACCATAGCAGCCCACAGTAAGTATTGCTCTGTTGTGTATTTATTTAAAATTTGGCCTCTTCTACTACTGTCTTCTAAAGAGTGTGGTTAAAAGTCTGTGTAGAGATGGAGAGATGGTTCTGCAGGCAAGAGCACTGGCTGCTCTTGCAGAAGACCAGGTTCTATTCCCAGCACCCACAGGGCAGCTCACAACTGTCTTTAACTCCAATTCTAGGGGATCTTACACCCTCTTTTGGCCTTCTTGGGCTCCTGCATGGATATTGTATGAGATACATATATACACTCAAGCACACACATATACACATAAAATAAGTTTGTGTGCTTGGTTGTTTTGTTTTGGGGTTTTTTTAATATTCACAGTCTTTATTGCTAGTTAGACTACAACCTATTTGCCTTGTCTTTACTTTTGTGTGGCTTTAGATCAGTGTCATGAAGGAAAGGCTTTAGACTGAAAAAAATTAGATTCGACCCTTGCTCACTCCTGGTTTCATTAGGAGGCTCCTTCTCATTGGATTCTATTTCTTCTGTAAAAAAGGATATACTACTCATTTGACTGCTGAAGATCAAATGGTGTATCCCGTGTAAGGTACCAAATTCGTAATAGGCACTTAGTAACTACTGTTACTCTCTTCTTCGCATCCTTCTAATTTTAAAAAGCAATTTCTATACTCCTGTAAGTCCAGATCAGACAGCACTGCCGACCATCTGTGATAACTGAAGGAGATCCCTGGACCTGTCAGCATGGCTGTAATTAGAGCTGGTTAGTTTAAGTGAGGCAGTTTAGAACAACAACCCTTGCATGTTAAGACACTTACTGATAGGCATGTGAGTGTGAATGCTCTGTACCTACCCATGCACAAGCACAGGGGCCAGAAAAGAGCCTCCGATGCCCCTTTTTATCACTCTCCATGTATTTTTTATTTATTTAAAAAAAAATTTGGGGGGCTGTGGAGACAGCTTAGCGATTAAGAACACTGGCTGTTCTTGCAGAGGACCTGAGTTCAATTCCCAGCACCCACATGGTGGCTCACAACCATCTCTAACTCCAGTTCTTCTGACTTCCATGGTCATGTGACACTCCAACATATACATAGGCAAAGCATTTGTACACATAAAATAAATAAATTAAAAAATTTGGCTGGGTATGATGACATGTCCTTTTAATCCCAACGTTCAGGAGGCAGAAGAAGTCAGTCGCTTATGTCTAACTTCTACATAGCAAGTTCAAGGGCAGCCAGGGCTATATAGTGAGACCCTGTCTCCAAAAAATATAATAATAAATAAAATAACCAATTTTACATTTATGTAGTGTGCATGTGTGCCAAGACACATATGTGGCAGTGACAGGACATTTTGCAGGACTCTGTTCCCTCCTTCCATGTGAGCTTAAGTGGCCAGGGTTAATAGCAAGCACCTTTCCCAGTAGAATAATCTCACGGCCCCCACTGCCTTGTTTCTTCTTTCTGAGGCAGCAGTCCACCCTCTGCCTCCCAGCTGAGTTGGCATTACAGATATGCATGGGATGTCCAGCTTGTTACATGGGCTCAGGGATCTGAACTCTGGTCCTCATGATTCCGTAGCAAACGCTTTTAACTGTTAAGCCATCTTTCCAAACCATGTTTTCCGGATTTAGAATGTGCATAAGGTGTGAAGGGGTAAAGAGAAAAATTTGAAATCGTTACTACTTATCCAGTCTTTTAAGACCCCCCCTCTTTTTTTTTAAAGTAAGCATCCCTGTTACTAAGCATCAGTACTGTAGACATGTTAGAGATCTTGCACAGTGGTAGAGCAGCTGCCTAGCATGCATGAGGCCCTAGGTTCATTCCCTAGCACTAGAGAAGGGGAGGAAAAATAGGAGAAAGGAAGAGAGGGAGGGAGGGATGAAGAAGGAAAGGATCAGCAGAATAAATGAATTAGCTTTCTAATTCCCTGAATTCTGGGCAGGAGAGGTGGCTCAGCAGATAATGGCACTCGGTGCCAAATCTGAGGACCTGTGTTCAGTCCCTGGGTCCCAAATGGTAGAAGGAGAAAACCAACTCCTAAAAGTTGTTCTCAAATCTCTACATGTGTACTTGAACATGGTATCACCCACACATGTACACAAAAACTCAGATACACACAATAAATAAATTTATTTGTTTAAACTCCCAGAATTCGGGAAGTCATGGAATCTTTATTTATCTCTCCTGTGCTACTTATTTTTCTCTTTCAGATACTTCCTTCTTCCCACTGTCTTTGTGTTCAACTGTGATTGAACCTTGCCTACCACTTAGCTACATTCTTAGCCCAATGATTTTACATAAGAAATCTCTGTACTATGATATATTTTTAAGTGAATGGGATTTCCTTCACCAGACAGAAAACATAATCTTTTTTGTTGTTTGTTTGTTTTTTCTTTTTTAAGACAGGGTTTCTCTGTATAGTCTTGGCTGTCCTGGACTCGCTTTGAATACCAGGCTGGCCTGGAACTCACAGAGATCCACCTGCCTCTGCCTCCCAAGCCTTAGGATTACAGGCGTGCCACAACGGCAAAGTTTTGTTTTGCAGCGGGGTGTGTGTGTGTGTGAAGGGGTGAGAGAGTAGGATTTGTTAATATTATGGCTCTAAACTCATTCTGTCAGTTTCCTGGTTAGTGGGTCTCAGTAAAATGTTTCTCTAGACTAGAAAGCATTCATCTTTCTTGATGGCTCTTATTACCAAAAGAAATTGTTTTATCTTTTTAGATCCTGCATAAAATATTACAAACAACATCCTCTTGATGAGCAACACGTTTTTCAGTTGCCAGTCAGACCTGCTGCTGTAAAGAGTTTGTATCAAAGGTAAGCACTTAACAATGACGTTGTACCTTATGGGCAGTTTGGAGCCCATTTTCCATATGATTTCATGAAGCAGCATGGCTTAACCTTAGTCTTTGATCTACTCCCTGATTCGAGTCTCATGGCTTTTCGTGGTTCTTCTCACAGAATTTGTGTCACTGAAGACTTTTGAGTCTCTAGTTTTTGTTCTGTCAATTTACAGTTCTGTCACAAAATCAAGGGAAAAATAATAGCCAGGAAGAAATGACAGACTGAGAGAAAATGCTGAGGATAGACAGGGACAGCAAGACCAAGGAGTAACTGGGAGTGAGAGAATTGTGGCCATTCACTCTGACATACAGATTCTGATCTCCCTGGCTCTTCTTCTTCATGTCTGCTTCTTGAAGCTTCTCTCATACTGAAAGTAAGCCCCATCCATGCCCAGTGGTTGGTTGGTTTTGGGGATGGGGTCTTAACTATATCACCTAGGCTGTCTTTAAATTTTGTTTCACCTTCCAAAGTTTTGGGATTATAGTCGTGCACCACTGTGTCCAGCTTCTAATGGCTTATTAATTTGCCAAATTAAATCGACATATTATAGAAAAAAAATGGTTTTGGCTACCTGTGATTCCAGGACTCATGTGGGTGCCTCTCATGAGTTAAGGCCAGCCTGATCTACATGGCACGTTCTAGGCCAGACAGAACTACGGATTGACACGCTGTCTCAAAAAAGAAAAAAAGTCAAAGCAGAAGTGGGCCAGGTAGCTTACCTGGTGGGAGTCAGCAAGTTCTTCCATCTCCAGGATTCATGTGAAAAGCCGCTGTTGTGGCTTGTTTATGTAATTCCAGCTGTGCTAGCTGTGCTAGCTGTGCTAGAGGGGAGACAGACAGGAGAAGCCACGTGAACCCCAGTGCTCACATCCTGTGCAACAGGGTAATGAGAGCCCTGCCTCAGAAACAAGGCAGAAGCAGGAAACTGACTCTGAGAGTTGTCCTCTGATCTTCATGTGTGCTGTGGAATATACCTGTCTTTGCTCACTAAAAGTGTAGAAAGACGTTATTTTGTGTGTGTGTGTGTGTGTGTGTGTGTGTGTGTGTGTGTGTGTGTATGCTATATAGAGGAGAGTGCATGCTGTGGCATGCGCATGGAGATCAGAGAAAACTTTATAGAGTCTATTCTCCTTCCACCTTTCATTTGTATTCTGAAGATGAGGCTCAGGTTGTCAGCCTTTCATGTCAGGCAGCAAGCGCTTTTACTCACTGAGCCATCGTGATATCCCAAAATTAATATTCTTATTACACTTATTGATGCATTTATTCTTGTGTATATGTGTGTCGTTGGGTGCTTGTAAGCTGTGGCACACATGTTGAGGTCAAAGGACAACTCACAGGAGTCAGCTCTCCCCTTCATCATGGAACTCATTCAGGCCTGAACCTGCTGAGCCATCTCTTCTGCCATGATAATCTTTTTAAATTAAGTAAACTAATTAATTAATTTCATAATTAAATGTGAGTCATTACACTTTTTCCTCGTATTTTATCTTTTTTTAAAGAGATTTATGCAGTATTCTGCCTGCATGTGTGCCTGCTCGCCAGAAGAGCGCATCAGATCTTACCATGTGAGCCACCACATGGTTGCTGGGAATTGAACTCAGGACCTTTGGAAGAACAGCCAGTACTCCTACCCCAAAGCCATCTCCAGCCCGAATTTTATCTGTTAATGACCATCATTAGTCACCCAAGGCTCAAACACCCTCTGCTCACTCCTGTTCCTTACCAGTTGCTTGTCTGCCTTGGCACCTCCCCCAACTCCTGTACTGCTTTCCTTCTTTGAGGGAGAATAGGGGGTAGAAATGGGTCTCACTGTTTACACTTGCCTTGAACTCTATGTAGCCCATGCTGGCCTTGAACATGAAGTGACGCTGCTGCCTCAGCCTCTCACATGGTAGAATTGCTGAGGACACCACCATGCTTGGCTTACACAGTATTTCTCTATTACTGCGTGCTCATGCATGCCTGTGAGAGTGTGTGTGTGTGTGTGAGAGAGAGAGAGAGAGAGAGAGAATATGTATAATTTATTTGTATTTTATGTTCATTAGTGTTTTGCCTGCATGTGTGTCTGTGTAAGGGTGTCAGAAGCCCTAGAACTGGAGTTAGAGACAGTTGTGAGCTGCATTTGGTTGCTGGGAATTGAACCCAGGTCCTCTGGAAGAGCAGCTAGTGCTCTTAACTACTGTCCAGTCTGTTACTGCTTTTTAAAAAATGTTTTCTTTCAAATGTGTGTGTTTGTCTCTCTCCCTTTCTTGACTGTTCTTGTCCAGCTCGGGCATTGTGACCTGTTATAGCCCTCCTCAGTACTTGTCACATAAGGATTTCACTAAATTTCTGTAAGGAAGGAAGGAAGGGAATAGCTATTGTTTGCTTATTGGTTAAGGGTTGGTTTGTTTTGTTTTACGTTTTCTTTTGATATTTTTTCTTTAGTGAGAAGCCACAGAAATGGAGAGTGGAAATAAGCGGTGGTCAGAAGAAGGTGAACACAGTTTGGCAGCTGAGCGAGAGCCCTCCTCTAGACCACGCCAGTTCCCACAAGCCTGGTAAAGACGATTGCTAGTAAATTAAGTCTTTCTGGGAGGAATCATTTTTATAGGTCTTTTCCTGACCTGTAGGTATAAAATCTGAGCTGCACTTGGTGGTTCACACTTTTAATCGCAGCAGAGGCAGGTAGATCTCTGAGTTTGAGGCCAGCCTGGTCTACAAAGCAAGTTCCAGGACAGCCAGGCTGCACAGAGAAACCCTGTGACAAAAAACAAAACAGAAAAAGACTATAAATTCTAAGAATTTCTTCTCTGACATTAAATTGTAGCAGGATTTAGAAAACACGCTTGTTGAACCCTAAGTGGTGACACAGAAATTCATGTACTTGTTTGGATTCCAAGGGAAGGTAGCCATTTTTAAAGGTACCATTTTAAATGGTAAGTTGTTTAATTGTGGCTTAAAGGCATCAGAAGTGTGAACTGTGTAAACGATTGCCCTGGCTGAGCTTTGCCAAACAGATTCTTTTCAAGTGACAGATGCTGTCCTTCTCAGCGTCTGTCTTGTGGTACAGGTCTTACTGACCTCATTGTCTTTCTGCCTACAGATTGTTCTGAGTTGACACTGAACGGTAGTTTGGAAGAAAGGACGGTCTTCATTAACATGGCCACCTGCAGCCAGGTGCACTTCAAGTAGCTTGCACTGAAGGTCCCTGCAAGGTATCTGTGCACTCTCAAGTATGTTGTGTTGAGCACCTTGTATTTTAACTATTTTTACATTGTCATATTGAATCCACACATCAGGAATGTGATTGTTCTCCAGTCACCCCCTGAATGGCCTGCCAGGTTATTTGCAAGTCTCTGATTCCTTTGTACTTTTTGTTGGCCATTTAACTCTACAGTCAAAAAATAATAATTTTTGAGTGGTAATATCTTTGTATTTTATTTTAAGATTTTATTTATTATGTATACAATATTCTGCCCGCATGTACACCTGAACACCAGCAGAAGGCACCAGATCCCAGTATAGATGATTGTGAGCCACCATGTGGGTGCTGGGAATTGAACTCAGGACCTCTAGAAGAGCAGCCAGTGCTCTTAACTTCTGAGCCATCTCTCCAGCCCTTCCTCCCCTTACTTTGATTTTTAAAATAAAAAATTAAGCACCACCAGGTCGTGTTGACGCGCACCTTACTCAGTCTCAGTACTCTTTAAAACAGAGGTCAGAGTAGCTCTGAGATAAGACTAGCCTGGCCTACAGTGGAAGTTTCAAGACAGCCACAGCTACACAGAGAAATTCTGTCTCTCTAAACCTAAAAAATAAAAATCATCTAAGTCAGGCCTGGTGGTGCATGCCTGCTCTGGGAGGCAGAGGCAGGTGGCTTCCTGTGAGTTCAAGGCCAGCCTGGTCTACAAAGTGAGTCTAGGATAGCCAGGGCTACACAGAGAAACCCTGTCTTGAAAAAAACCAAAAAGAAATAATAAGTAAATAAATAAAATCATCTTACATTGAGTTAGTATTAATTAGGAGAATGAATGGAAAGTCCTCTTTTGTGTTGTTTTTTGAGAAAAAAAATAAAAAGTTCTATAGGCCTCGCTGGCCTGGAGCTCCCAGAGACCCACCTGGGATTAGAGGTGGGCACTTTGTTGCCTAGCCTCGGGCCTCTTTTGTTTGTTTTCTTGCTTGCTTCAGAAACAAAAGTAAAACTAAATAATGAGTAAAATGCCTGACCCCATTCCTTCTTCAGCTTCATTTGTCATCTAAGAAATGGATATTAATTTTATCATAGTGAAAGACCCCAGCCTCACACTAAGTTAAACATAGCTAATGCCATTTTGTGAGACACCACTGTTTTGTAAAACTCTGAAGGCCAGATGAGAAACTGGAAAATTACTGAGAAATCCTAGCTGTGTCACCCACTTGGGATATCTGTGGTCAGGCTGCCCCAGTCATACTAAAAACAGTTTGTGTTATTCACTCTCATAGATATCTGTGAGACTGTTTCAGCTAAGATAGGGAAAAACAAAATAACAGGTGGCGGGCCACGTCAAGGGGTCATCCTACCCCCCTTGACCACCCAGTTCCTGAAATCTTGGTGCCCCTGCCAAACTTTGACGCAAATTGTGGTCTCGTGTAAACGTACCAATCAGCCCCCTGTAACCATGCCCTCTCGTTTCTGTACCAGTGCCTCTGCCTCTAAAACCCTATAAAAACCCCAGCTTTCTACCTAGGGGGCGCGGAAGTCTTCCGAATGACTTTTCGCCCCGAGTACTCGTGAATCAAAATAAAAGCCTCTTGCTGTTTGCATCCGAATGGCCTCGTTGATCTTTGGGAGGGGGTCTCTCTGACGGAAGATACCCTCCGGGGATCTTTCAATAGTTAAAGAACAAATTGAACTTTAATTTGTGTGTGTGTGTGTGTGTGTGTGTGTGTGTGTGTGTGTGTGTGTGTTTGCTCTTTCAGACAGTGTTGTTCTATATAGTCCTAGAGCTCACTGTGTAACCAGGCAGGCCTTGAACTCATAGATCTGCCAGCCTCTGCTTCCTGAATGATGGTATTAAAGACATGCATCACCCCACCTGGCTTTCATTTAAATTTTAAAAACCTTTGTTTAGTTTACACCACAGTCTGTCCTGCCCTCTGCTGGTGCGGGGCAGTGACTGCAGGAACAGGCTGTGCGCAACTTGCTGTCCACCCACTTAGCTGATAGTCTGCAGCTTGAAGGGTTAGATTGACAGTGTCATCAGATAGGGCAGTGCGGGGGTGGCAGTCATTTGTACATTAAAGGAATATTTTCAGGGCTGGAGAGATGGCTCAGAGGTCAAAAGCACCCGCTGTGCTTCCAGAGGTCCTGAGTTCAATTCCCAGCAACCACTTGGTGGCTCCCAACCATCTATAATGCAATCTGGTGCCCTCTTCTGGCATGTACAACATTGTATACATAATGAATAAATAAATCTTAAAAAGAAATATTTTCAGATAAATGAGAAATAATCAATACTGTGTTCCTAATTTTGAAAAATGAGATACGTGAATGATATATTGCAAAAATATATTAAGTCTGACTTCAGGAGAGTTGAGATTACAGGTCACTTTCATTTTATTCATATTTTTATTTTCTGATTCTTAAATTTCAGCACAAACCAAGAAGGGGGAAGGGAAAGAAAGGTCATTTTCAGCATCTGAAAAATAGACATCACATGAGCTTTTGAAGCAGAAAAGAAGGGTGATCCTGAAGAGTCTCTGAAAGATGAAGGTGGAGATGAGATCCTGTCTCAGCTGCAGCTCCTGAAGAGAAGTGTTAACAGCAGGGCAGCAATGAGGATGGAGAGGGCACAGACTGTTGGGGCCACGATTTCTGAAGCCACGTGCATGTGCCTGAGCAAGGGCTCTAGAACAGAACATTCCACCAGAAGTGAGCTTTGTTTTGACCACTGTAGTTTCCAATTGTTCTCCTTTGTTGTAAAAGGGAACTAATGAATCAAACATTATTTTGTAATGAGGTCTGGGGCCGTAGTGTGGACAGAGCTTTCCCTGAGCGTGCACACAGCCTTTGGGAGTCTGTACCATTACACAAAGCTTACTCGAGAGCTGGAGATGTCAGATAAAATCTGGTTCTTTCACTGGCATTTCACTTAGCCTATGTATGGATAACACTCGTGCCGGCATTGCATTAATCTCAAAAAGCTGCCACCTATATTCCATGGGTTCCCTAGGTTTTTACTGGGGCTAGGTGTGATAGTGCACACCTTTAATCCCAGCACTGGGGAGGCGGAGAGGCCTGGTGTGTGATGCTAGTTCCAGAAAAGCCAGAGCTATACAGACAAACCCTGTGTCAAAAGGGAGGAAAAACCATTGGCAACATTTCTAGCTTTTTGAGTTTGTTATTCTCTATATACTTATATCTCATATACCTTTAAGCGATGTGGGAGTCTCTATATTGCAACTTCTAATGGTAATTCTTAAACTCATTTCTTTGTTGGCACAAAAGTTCATTTAGAAGTAAACATTTATTTGATAATTGTTGCGTGGTATAATCTTTTAAGAGCTAAGTGATTTATGTGTGCCGACCCAATGGAAGACCTTCACGTAACCAGCTTTGCTTTGTCTGCTGAGCGCCCTGATGTCTGCAGTAGACAGGCATGGACATGTTCTCAGGAGGCTCACGGGCTGGTCGGCAAAGCCTGCGTTCCCACCGAGTTGCAGTTGCTCTGTTTTGGTGGCCTATGGTTTATAACCGTAGACTGATCATTTAGGAGCATGTCTGCTGGCACACTAGCCCGTGAAGGGTGAGAGGGCTGCTCAGCACCTGCTTCGCTCCCCCATTCAAGAATGACACTAGATTGCCCTTACACAGAAAAAACAGGGATTTCAGAAACACTGGTGGCATTCTGTATTTGGGATCCTTTTAGATCCACTGCATAAGAAATGATGCCTTTAGCTGGGTGTGGTGGTCCAGGCCTTTAATCCCGGCACCCAGACATCCGCAGAGGCAGGCGGATCTTCTTGATTTCGAGGCCAGCCTGGTGTACAAATCGAGTCCAGGACAGCCAGAGCTATTACACAGAGAAACCCTATCTTAAAAACCAAAAAAGAAAAAAAAAGATGCTTTTTTTAGCCAGGTGGTGGTAGCAAACACTTCAGTCCCAGTGCTCCCGTGGGGAGGCAGAGATAGGATCTCTGAATTCGAGGCCAGCCTGGGCTACAGAGTGACCTGGCTGTTCGAGGACAGCCAGTAGGCCAACACAGAGAAACCCTGTCTCAAAAGAACAAACAGTAACAAACAGCTCATAGTTAGGAGCACAGGCCACTCTTCCAGAGGACCCAGGCTCAGACCCCAGCATACACAATGGCAACTCACAATTGTAACTCCCGTTCCAGGGGTTCCAACACCCTCGCATAGACACATGCACGCAGAGCACCAATGTACACGATGAAAATCATTGAGAAAAACAGCAGCCAGGCATGGTGGCACACGCCTGTAATCCCAGCACTCAGGGAGGCAGAGGCAGCAGATCTCTGAGTTTGAGGCCAGCCTGGTCTACAAAGTGAGCCCAGGACAGCCAAGGCTACTTTTAAGAGGATAGGGACAGTGTTTTGTTTATTGCTGTTATCTCTAAGGCGTAGAATAACCCTTAAATATTAGAGAATACTGAATAGTTTTTAATCCTAGCTACTTGGAAGGCAGGAGCAGGAGTATCACAAACTCAAGGCCTATGAGAGCTGCTGAGTTTAAAGCCATCCTAAGCAAGTTTGTGAGACCTAGTCTCAAAAAGTAGGGCCGTGGCTGGAGAGAGAGCTCAGCAGTCAAGAGCGTTGACTGCTCTCCCAGAGGACCCAGGTTTGGTTCCCAGCACACATTGTTGTAACTCTTGATTCCAGGGGATCCAGCACCATCTTCTATCCTCCTTGGGTATCAGACACTCACATGATGCATGGACATACTTGCAGGCAAAACACCCATTCACGTGAGCAAAAACAAACAAACTTCTTTTTAAAGTAGGGCTGATAAGATGGTTTAGTGGGTAAAGACACTTGCCACCCGATCCTGACTACCTGAGTTCAGTTTCTGGAATCCATGTAAAGAGACAGTACTACAAAGTCATTCATTGAATGCCTCAGAGCACAGGCACACACACAACAGCAATAAATACAATTAAAATGTAACATTTTTAAAAAGTGAAGTGGCTGGGGAGAAAGCTCAGTAGTAGAGCACTTAGTGGTTTTGAACCCTAGGTTTACTCCCTAGCAACGCCACACAAACCAAAATTACTTGCTTAATTAGTGTAAGACCTGCTTTTTCCTTTTCTTCATTCCAGTTGATAATGGCTGATTTTTCCTCTTCCACTTGCCCATTTTAACAAAAGCGGTACACACATAAAATTACAGTGTAATTCAGAAGAATGAAATTACAGTACTTGGGATACAGCATCAATAAAATGTGACTAATAAAAAATAAAGAAATTACAGTACTTGAAGTCATTCTCAGGAATGGGGGCGTGGCTCGGTCAGTAAGGTGCTTGCCTTGTTTGACTTCTAGACCCTACTTTAAAAGTGATGAAATGGCAACCCTGAGCTAGGGAAATAGAACGGCCAGAAGAGCCCAGAACTTGCTGGCTTGCCATAGTAGACTATGTGATGGGCTTCAGGCCAGTGAAGCAAAGAAGCAGTTCAAGCTCCTGAGTGTGACACTAGGTTGTCCTCTGACTTGCACACATACAGAAGAAATTCACCCTCCGCTATTTCTCTTGTGCTTCATGCTTTCTCTAATACAATTTGTTGTTGTTTTTTTTAAGTGGAGTCTTTAGCCCGTGTTAGTCTGGTCTAATCTGGCCGTAGATAAATAGATTAGGTAGACAGATATTTAAAATGCTATATGGGCTAGGAGTTTAGCCAGCTTAGTGTGTACAAAAGATGCCTCTGGTAGCCCAAGTACCCAAGATAGACAAAATTTTAAATGCTTATAAGACAACATTAAAGGTAAAGACATTTGTGGTCATAAATGGACTTTAGCTAGGTCATTCTGAGACTTTTAGTAATGCCATCATATGTAAATTACATAGTTATCAAAGAAAAGAATGTCCTCACCTGTGGCAAGCATCTGGTTGTTGATGGAGCAAGTTTCCAAAGCTTGGAGATGCCAGCTTTCCACCTGATGAAAACCCACTGGATAAGCAAGGTTGTCTTACATTTTTGTTTAAATTTTTTTTTTTAGAATAAGTGAGGTAATTTTTTTTTTTTTTACAAAAATTTATATGCATTGTTGTGTATGTGTACATAGAAGTCAGAGGACAACTTTCAGAAATCAGTTCTCTCCTAGCACTTAGGTCTCAGGGATCAAACTTACATCATCAGGCTTGGCCAAAGGAGCCTTTACCAGTTCACCAGTCTCACGAAGACAAACACTTTTGTTTTTGTTTTCTGAGACAGGGTTTCTCTGTGTAGCTCTGGCTGTCCTGGAACTCTGTAGACCAGGCTGGCCTCCAAACTTACAGACACCCGTCTGCCTCTGCTTCCTGAGTGCTGAGATTAAAGGCATGCACCACCACTGTCTGGCGACAAACACATAATTTTAAATCTACCCACCGTTTTGGTTTTAATTTTTTTGAGACTTTTCATTGGAGCCCAGACTGGCCACAAACTGGCTGTGTAGCTGAGGCTGGCCATGAGGTCAACCCCCAGCTTCGTGTAGCTTTCTTATAATGACAGAGTAAACGCCTTCACATCTTTGAAGCAATTCTAGCAAGCAAGTCACGTTTGTGTTTTGGTTCGGTTTCCTTTTTTTGAGACACTGTTTCTCTGTGTAGCCTTGGCTGACCTAGACTCTCACTTTGTACACCAGACTGGCCTCAAACTCAAAGAGATCTGCCTGCCTCTGCCTCCCAGAGTACTGGGATTACAGACAGTGTGGGCCACCGCACCTGGCTCACATTTGTTTTTAATTTATATCATAATTTACAGTCCATGATGTAGATGCAGTTACAGACAAGGTAGAGCTGATGGGCAATTTGTAAGTTATTAGAACTATTTGGTAGGTTGTTTGTTTGTTTTAATATTTATTTATTTACTCGTTTATTTTTGTGGTGCACCTGTTTGCCCTTGGCACCCAGCAGAGGGTGCTGGATCCCTGGAGCTAGAGTTGTAGGCAGTTGTGCTGAGAACTGAACAAGAGCTCCATGACTCCTTGTTTAATAGGTTTTAAAAGCTTAAAGTTTAGCCGGATATGGTGGCACACTTGTAATCCCAGCACTCAGTGAGGCAGAGGCAGGCACATCTCTGTGAGTTGGAGGCCAACATGGTCTACAGAGCAAGTCTAGGACAGCCAAGGCTACATAGAGAGACCCTGTTTCAAAACAAACAAACAAAAAGCTTAAAGTTTGTTTCTGTTTAATCTTGCCTTGGAGGCAGTACATGTATATGGTTCTGCCATTTGGTGGGAGAGTCCTACATTTGATTTACAGAACATTTTACATATTGAATAGTAGGTAGTATTTGTTTGCATCAGGGTAACATTTTTAGCTCATCAGAATTCCCATCTGATTCATGTTTTTTAGTCTTATTGTTCAAATGTGTTCTGGATGAAAATAAAACCCCAAGGGATGGGTAGTAGGAGGACATTTTCACTTCAGTGGCAGAAGAGGCCGCGCATCCTGGGTAGCCCTGGGGCTACAACACAGCAAACCATTGCCTTCATGGTTTGCTCCGTTAGAACCTAGCTCTGACAGGACTCGTCAGCTTGATGCTCTGTCTGGGAGGGACTGGATTTTGAGGTGTGCTCACTCCACCCTGAGCAGAAGTGGTGAGAGGCAGGGAAGCTGTACCCCCTCCCCCTTCCTTAAAGAAAAAGGAGGGTGTGGTGCATCTCAATCTTTAGTTCTTGTAAGAGCAGAACAAGCGTCATGGGTAGGTCAGCCTTACCTCTCGTGGGTTTGGAAACCCATTGGCTGTGATGATCTCCTTGTAATACTGAACTGAAGCCTTGGGGTAGCGAGGCTTGTGTCTCACATTGAAGTCAACGTGGTAGAACCCGTATCTATCTGCATAGCCTTTCTCCCATTCGAACTTATCCAGCAGAGACCAGGAAGTGTACCCTCTTATATTCACACCATCTTTTATAGCTGTGAAGATATGATTCCATTCTTAATGCATTTCGCTTACTTAGAGATATAGAGAGAGTATTTCTATGAGGTCTAGAAGCAAGTTTTATTTGATGGTAGATGATAGACTGAATTTTGTCTAAACAGAAAAACATGAAGCAAATCTTAGTTTTATCTCACCTTTTAACATTTCATTTATGTATCCTTTGAGGTACTGAATTCTCCACTCATCACAGAATTGAGTGCAGTGTAACTTCTGAGATGCTCCATTTTCTGTCACGAGTATGGGAGGATCACCATACTGAGTCTGGAAGTAAGGCAAGAATGGGTGTCAAACACCTGACTTAGAGGCGGTCTTCTGGGTCTCATGGCTGCCATAGTCTAATGAAGTGCATGGAGCTAGCGCTTTCTTAGTGGGTGTCGGGTGACATGTTTATTGAGAGATGAGTGTAGGTAGGCGAGTTGATGTGGAAGAATATAGTTCTCTGAAAGGGATCTTATTTGGGAAAGCACACTCCAGATCTTATTCTCTCCCTCAAACTCCCTTTCAAGTTAGATGGGCAATATACCTGAGAGGGGGGCAGCCATTTTCTTGCGCCATTTAGTTGCGCCGGTAAATGACCTCCCTCCCACCCTATGCTTGTAAGCTACCCCATTAAACTTGCTCACACATGGGGACATGCAAAGACGTGAGAGTAGGAAGCAAAGTTAGACAGGAGTGTGGGGAGGGAGAACAGATAATGAAAAGCAGACATGATCAAAATGCATCACATACATGTATGAACTTGTCAAAGGGCAAACTTAGGAGAGGGTCTAGAGAGATGCCTCAGCAGTTGAAAGCATTCACCGCTTTCCAGAGTACACAGGTTCAATTCCCAGCACAAACACGCAAGCCCACAATTCTCTGTGCCCTCTGTGGGCACCAGTCAATCTTGTGGCGCACATACCTGTTTTCAGGCAAAGGTTCATATACATCAAGTAAAAAGTATGTACTAAAAAAGAAAAAGGTAAATTAAGTGTCAGATTTCAGCTGTAATTGGAGGTGGTTGTTTACGTAAGCAACAGTCTGCAGGGCCTCTGTAGTAGGCTGTGAGGTGCAGGGGCCTGGATTTATTGGCTGACCAGCTTTGTCGTTTTGAGCTGGTTTTGTTCGTTTGGTCGAGTCTCATGCAGTGCAGAGCTCAGTGTGCAGTGTGCAGAGGTTAACATGCAGTATTGCCAGTTTCCACGGTCTCACGTGTTTGATGGGGTAGGTACCTGAGCAAAGTTGAGAAGCCTCCTGAATCCCCATGGCACAGAATAGAGCCACGAAGACCCCAGCTCTGGCCAGTTGGGGTCTACAAGCTCTACCAAGTCACGGTCATTCTGGTAGCTGGGACCCTGGAGGGAGGAGTATTTCCTCTGAGTGATGTATCGAGTGGTAAAATGGCCCAGTCCCAGGAAGTCAGATGTGCCTTTAAGGTAGCTCTTCTCCTGAAGGGAGAACGTAGGCAACCTCGACGTCTCCAGGCCTCGCTCTGCACTCTTCATTCCTGACAGGAGTGAACGGGAGAATTTAAGCAGGTCTTATTTCTCACGGTCATTTTGCTTTGTCCCACCGCACCGCTGGAACTGTCACGTATAAACTGGGCTTTGGTGCTGGAGCAGTGGCTCAGCTCTTGCAGGGGACCCAGGCTCACATCTCAGCACCCACGTGACAGCTCACAGCTGGCCACAACTCTAGTTCTAGAGGTCCAACACCCTCTTCTGACTTCCAGAGGCACAAGGCACATACAAACACTCATAAAGGCAAACACACAAAAAAAAAAAAAAAAAAAAGAAAAACTTTTAAAAAAAGAACTTGAGCTGTGGTAGCTCACGCCTTTAATCCCAACACTTGGAAGGGAGAGGCAGGCAGATCTCTGTAGTTAGAGGCCAAGCTGGCCTACAGGACAGCCAAGGCTACACAGAGAAACCCTGTGTCAAAAAATCACTTACTTTTTTTAGACAGGATTTCTCTGTATAGCCGTGGCTGTCCTGAAACTTGATCTGTAGACCAGGCTAGCCTTGAACTCACAGTGATCCACCTGCCCCTGCCTCCAGAGTGCTGGGATTAAAGGCGTGCGCCACCACCGCCCTGCCAACTTGTACTTTTACTCTTGTCTATGTTTGTGTGTGTGCCCACATGAGTATAGTGCCCATAGAGGTGGGTGTTGCCTTCCTGGAGGTGCAGGGAACAGGCAGTTGTGAGCTGCCATTCCTGTGTAGATGCTGGGTACTGAGCCCTGCTCCTCTGGAAGAGCATCAAGCGTTCTTAACTGCTGAGCCATCTCCAGCCTATTTTCAAAAAAAATTTCTAAATTTATATTGCTTACTGTTTGTGGCTAGGAGTGTAGCTTAGCAGTAGAGTACTTGAGAGACACATACAGGGCCCTGGATTTGACCCCTGTCAGCCAAAGAATGCAATATTTTCACGATTACTCAGTGAATGGTACTTGGAGAAAAGCACGGCTATACTGTTCCTTCCATTGAAAAATTGGTAATGTGGGCTCCTTCTAGAAAGCTGGAAGGACATTGGTGGTAGCGAGAGTCATGACGTGTTCAAATGTCGACAGCGTCGGCTGTGACAGGTCCTCCACTGAGCAGTTTTGCCGTGCTCGGACTGTAAAGGTCAGCTTTTAACTGACAAGCCCCAAACCTTTTTATCATGTATCTCGCTCACGTGTGGGAAAGGATCTTCAGTCAAGTGTCTTCAGGTAAATTGAGTAGCAAAAGGTTGGAAACAACTTACATTATTATTGCCAAGGGGATGGCTAACTAAATGATGGAAAACTGAGGATGCAGCATGCATGAGCCCTGGGTCTGACCCCCAGCACCACAATACTAAAAATAGGGGCTGGAGGGATGGCTCAGCAGCTAAGAATACTTGCTGCCAGAGGACCCAGGTTCAGTTCCCCACAGCCACAAGGGGCTCACTGACATCTGTAACTCCAGCTCGCAAGGATCCGGTGCCCTCTTCTGGCCTCCATAGATACCTCGCTTGCATGTGGCACATGGACACACATTTATAGGAAACACTCATACACACAAAATAAACCCAAGACAGTAAAGTCCCCTGAAATAACAATTGCTGCTGAGCGGCCATCCGTACCATGATGTGTGTCTGCTGGAACAGACAAGGCAGCACTTTCCATGCCACCGTGTAAGGATTGCCTACATATATGTGTAAGGGGTAAAAGATGCGGGCTGGGGCTGCAGAGGCGGCTCAGAGAGTAAGAGCACTGGCTGTTCTTCCAGAGGTCCTGAGTTCAATTCCCAGCACCCATGCGGTAATGGAATCTGATGCCTTCTTCTGGTTTGCAGACAGAGAACTCACGTACATAAATAAATTAATAAAACTTAAAAAAAAAAAAGCTGCAGGCCACTGAATATAACATGAACTACACTCTGGCAAATGTGCAGTGATCTAACAGGAGGACAGGAGGAGCACTTGCAGGGAGACTCTAGGTTAGGATGAAAGGAGTGAAAGGTTTGTACTATTAACAGTCCTTAAAACATTAGCAAGTTTTTAGTCAAATTCAGTAACTAGAAAAACCGGCGGGCACTGGTCCTGCACTGACTCCTCTGGAAAAAGCACACAGAGTAATGGGTTTCCTGGTGGCATCTTATACAGGCACTGGCTCTTTCCCAGTCGGTCCCCTCTTGCCACACGCATTCCAGTACTCTTTCTTTCTCACTCCCCCTTCCTTATGATCTCTTCCTCCTTCCGGCCTCTCTCAAAGCATCTCCTCCATCCCTCTCCAGAAGAGAAGAGGAAACAGCTCTTGGTTCAGAGCCCCGATTCCTACTGGATGGGAATGCCCAGATGCTGTAAAATCACCATGGTCTTCAGCCGTGTACACACTGTCCCCATGTGTGTGGGCTGTTCCACTGTCCTGGCAGCCGAGGACAGAAAAGCGAGGCTGATGGTGCTCCTTCAGGAGGAAGCAGCACGGAAAGCACCTGCTTCAAGATGAGCAGGAGCCAGCCCAGTGAACACATTTTGGGAAAAACAAAAACAAAAAAACTTCCTCTCTTGCTGGTGGCTGTGAGTTGAGGCCAGCCTGGTCTGCAAAGGGAGTTCCATCCAAGACAGCCAGGGCTGTTATACAGAGAAATGCTGTCTTAAATAACAAACAAAAGCCCTTTTTCTCCCTTTTTGAAGTATCCCCTACACGTATATACACTCAAATTTAAATTCTTCATTTGGGAGAAAACACGCAATGTTTATCTTTCTAATTCTGACTTACTTCACTTAACAGAATTTCCAGTTCTACCAACTTCCTATAAAAGTCATGATTTTTCGTTTTAATGGCTGAATGAAATTCTGTTGTGTCTATATTCCAAACTTCATTAGCCGTTCATGTGTTGATGAATATCTAGGCTGCTCCCATTTCCTGGCTGTTGTGAATCATGCCGCATGTCTGCAGTGTGTGGAGGGCCGGCCTAATGGTACAGAGCTACGTTGTTTAATAGTTCTCACTGTGGGGGCGGGGAGAGCTTGCAGAGGGCAACTGGAAGGGCTCTATCTCTTTTTCCACCACGTAGGTCCTGGGAAATTCATTTCAGATCATCAGGTTTGAGTAGCAAGCGCTTTTACCCACTGAGCCATCTCTCTGGCCCTATTTTTTGTTGTTTTTAAATTTTATTTTGCTTTTGAGTAAAGCACACTGATTTCCATAGTAACTGCACCAGTTTTCACTCCCGTCAGCACTGAATGAGGGTTCTTCTTTCCAAACCCTAGCCAGTGTTTGTTTTCTTGATAGCTGTTCTGACTTGGATGGGATGGACTCTCAAAACTGTTGTAATTTGCATTTTGGGGTGGCTGAGGTTGCTGAAATAAGACAGACACAGAAAGACAAAAAACCGTTGCTCTCACTGAAAGAGCAGCAGATGTAGCGTTAGCTCGGCTGTGCTGCTCCAGAGCCCATCCGTGACTACAAAGCCACTGTCACCAGGAGCAGGGAGCTCTGGCTGGGCAGCTGCCGGCAGAGCACGGTACACCGTGCCTCTCGGAGGCTGGAAGAAAGGGAGAGTATTCATCGAGCTGGGTGGTGGCGCACACCTTTGATCCCAGCACTTGGGAGGCAGAGGCAGGTGCATCTCAGAGTTGGAGGACAGCCTGGTCTACAAAGCGAGTTCCAGGCCAGCCCTGTCTCAAAAAAACAAACAAAAAAATTAATTTTCTCCACAAAGCAATGATAAGGGGCTGGAGAGATGGCTCAGAGGTTAAGAGCACTGACTGCTCTTCCAAAGGTCCTGAGTTCAATTCCCAGCAACTACATGGTGGCTCCCAACCATCTATAATGAGATCTGGTGCCCTCTTCTGTGTACATGTCATGTGTACATGCAGGCAGAACACTGTATACATAATAAACATTAAAAAAACAAACAGTGGTAGCCTGTTTAACCAGATGTAACATCAATGTACATAGTAAACTGAAACATCACACAGCCTAATAAATATGTAAGTTTTTAAAGGTTTAGGGCTGGGGAAGTAGCTTGCCTTGTAAGCAGGAGGACCTGATTCCCAGAACTCATGTTTTACAAAAAGCAAAAGAGCTGAGTGTGGCCCGTTGACCTGGCTCAGCAGATAAAGATGTGTTGTGAGCAAACCGGGTGACCTTCATTCATTGCCTGGACTCCATGGTAGGAAAGAGCCACTCTAGAGTGTCTTCTGACTTCCATACTTGTGCCTTAGCATGAACACACACAGTAATAATACATGTACGTGTGCGTGTGTGTGTGTTCTAAGCCGAGCATGGTGGTCTGTGCTTGAATCCCAGCAGGGGGAAGGCAGACTCCCATAGCTCACTGGCCAGTTAGCATTGTATACTCGGCAAACTCTACCCCAGTGAGAGACCCTGTCTCAAAAAACAAACAAGGTGGGCGATAACTGAGGACCAGCTAAGGAGATTGTCCTCTGACGTCCACACACATACGCACAGCTGTGTACACGTATACCTGCACACACACACACAACTAAGGTAAAAACAAAAATATGACTCACCAATGTAGTCCTTCATGACTTGGGGATAGTCACCAGCGTAAATGGGGTTGGCAAACCAACCGAGGCAGAACTGTAGGTATCTCTCAGCAGCCTCGATGTCGTCGGGGTTGTTGGTGTCCACAGGTTCTCTCCAGTCACAGTTCAGTGAGATCCCCACTTGGCCTTAAAGGAGGAAAATCAGGGTAGGCAGAGGCAGGACGTGGCTCCTCTGGGTCATGTGTGAGCCTGAGGGAGGGTCCCAGCTCACCTTGCTGTTTGCTGCGCCATGTGTTGTTGTAAGAATGCCAAGCTTGGGCGTGTGCCTGAAAAAAAGGAATCCGCAAATGTCTCTGGCTCATCCATTCCCCTGCCTCCTGCCTGCCTGTCTTCCTTCCTTCCTTTCTTTCTCCATACATTTCTTTTTTCTTTTCTTCTGTTTGTTTACTTATTGGGAGGAGGCGGGATCAGAGGACAACAGGAATCAATTCTCTCCTTCCACCATGCCAGGAAGTGAACTCAAGTTGTCAGTCTCAGCAAGTGTCTTCCGAGTGTGGAGCCATCTTGCTGCCTAGGGGGTGCCCTTTTTTGCCTTCCTAACTCTAGAGCTCCAACATCAAGCTTCCCATGTCTTGAATCCAGTCTCAAACACCACAGATCCTTCCCTGACTCCCAGGGGCATTTGCTTCCTTTGTACTGTGGAGGAAGCACAGTCTAAATGGGGCAGAAGCCACTTTGCTACCCAGCCCCATCAGGGCAACACCTCAGTCTTGCCCTCTGCCAAACCAGCACTGTACCAGCTGAACAATCCCTGCCCATAATTTATTGTGTCTAAACTGTTCACGCGGGTCTCTAGAAAGGCAGCACTTCTGAGGGGTTGGTGGAAGTGTGAGTTCATGGGGCCCTTTCAGGACCTGCTGACACAAGCTCTGAGAGCAGGGCCCAGCCACCTCTGCGGTTTGTTTCTGGTTTGTTTGGGGCCAAGGTCTCAGGGAACCTTGACTGTCCTCACACTAGCTGTGAAAGGAAAGCTGGCTTTGAACTATTAGTCCCCCTGTCTCCACCTCCCAGATGCTGCAATTCAGGCATGTTATCACAGAGCCCAACTTCATCCTGTGTTTAAACAAGGTCTCCAAGTGTTTCTGACATTTGCTAATGTTTGAGATTCATTCATTTCAGGATATAATGGTTTCAAGTGTTGCTTTCTGCTCTGGGAAAGCCTCCACAGCATGCTTCACCACACCCAGTATCCTGGCTAGTTTTCTGTTAACCTGACACAAGCTAGGGTCATCAGGGAGGAGGGAGCCTCAGTTGAGAAAATGTTTCCATGAGACTTGCTTTAGGCAAGCCTGTGGGTTATCTTCCATACTAGTGACTGGGCTGGCAGTCCTGGGTTCTGTAAGAAAGGCTAGAGCAGAGACTCAGCAACCACCTAGATCTCCAACCCAGGAGATCCAGCTCCCTCTTCTTGAATTGCAGGCACACGGTGTATAGACATGCAGGCCAAAAAATCTTTCTGGGTGTGGTGGCAAACACCTTAATCTCAGCACTCTGGGAGGCAGAGGCAGGTGGATCTCTGGTGAGTTGGAGGCCAGCCTGGTCCACAAAGAGAGCCCAGGGCAACGATTGCTATTACACAGAGAAACCCTGCCTCAAAAATAAGTAAATAAATAAATAAATAAATGAAATCTCAAATCAATTTTGTAAAAAGTAAGAGAAATGTAAGAGCCTTTTCCCTGATGGGGGCTCATGTGGGTGTGTCACCAGCGGTCTGTCCTTCCAGCCAAGTGTTTACCAGGACAAGTTCCATTAGGCTTTGCATCCTCAACCTCACGTCCTGTATCTTTACCCGTGTCTTGTAAGCCTCTTGCCTCTCCCCTTCCCCAGCTTGCAGTGCACGTGAGCACCGGCCAAGCTCTGAGAGCCAACTGGCTGCCCTGCACACTTCCCCTCAGCCCACATATCGTAAGCTGGAAAAGGACGTGTCTGGGTTGCCTTGTTGATGCTTCCAAACTGCTCCTCCCCCTTCCCTCCAAAACCCCAGCTCATGACCAGCGACCACTCTGAGTCCTTCCTTTTCGTCTTCGCAATCTCTGTGTTCTTCCTTCTATTTTTGCAGATTTCGGCCCTTACCTACTGTCACATACCCACTTCCCATCACCATTCCTCACAAAATTTATGCCGCTGGGCGTGGGGCCGCACACCTTCAGTCCCAGCGCTTGGGAGGCAGATGCAGGTGGATCTCTGTGAGTTTGAGGCCAGCCTGGTCTACAAAGTGAGTTCCAGGACAGCCAGGGCTACACAGAGAAACCCTGTCTCGAAAAACCAAAGTTTACACCTACACAAGACAAGTTTCCAAATGTCTGCCCCACCCATCGGTAAGATCAGAAGTAGCAACCACTACAGTACCCTGCCGACTGGAGTGCCAGTGAGGTGGTAGGGCTGGCCTCTACCTATCCTCAGAGCACAAGAGCCCGTGGCACTGCTGATGTGGGAAAGGCTCGGCGTGACCCCTGGTGCTGGCCCCACCTGGAGCCCAGCCTTGGCCCCAGAAGGACCTGGCTGACCTTAATTACACGGTGTGCTGCCATGCACAGGCCAGTGCCCTGCAGCCGCAGGCCTGGTGCGTGGAGGCCGGCCTCACAGCCCTTTTCTACCATTGTCTGCAGAGACAGCAGTGGGGGCCCAGGCTCATGAGAGACGGCGGAGGACATCCCCATCCCCCCATCTGAAGAGGAGCCCTACCTATCCTAGGATCACTGAACGTGAGCCCCTACCTACCCGAGGATCACTGAACATGAGCCAATGCTTCACTCGGTCTCCGAAGACCTCAAAGCACAGGTCAGCATAGTCCCTGAAGTACCGGGTCATGCTCGAATTCTGCCACCCACCATATGTGACCTGGAGCGTCTGTCAACAGAGAGAGAAGCTGGTGCCCCAGGGAGGCTCTGGAGTGGGGGGTGAAGGGTCTGGGTAAATGTGGGTGACCACAGTACAGGAATGAGAGCAGAGATGCAGGATGAGGCACAGAGCCTCTAAGGCAAGGGAGTGCATCCTCCGTGCAGAAACTGGAGGCAGCGGAGGAAGCTGGGGATGCCTGCTTAGGAAGAAGCTGTCAGCCTGGATATGAGACGTAAACATGGAGGGCGTGTCGTCCTCGCCCCTGAGGAGGCCAGAAGGGCAGGGCTGTGCTCAGGTGCTTAGCAAGCTTGGGTGGGTGCTGGGTGATACACTGGATTCCCACTGTGACAGCAGGAAGCCTGGCACTGGTAGGGGAGCCCCGGTGAGGATCTGGAGGGCCTCGACGAAGTCAGGACACTCTCTGGTGCCTCAGCTATTAGTGTGACGTCATAAGACCTTCACAGCGGAAGCCTGCTCTCCTGCATGTGTGCTTAGATATCGACGGCCGTGGCTTCCTCGTGTCCTCCTGGTATGCTTGAAGAGATGCCCCTGGACAGCTCAGTGGAAGGTGCAAACTTCTCCCCCAGCTAAAAAGCCTTTGCTAGCTCCCCAACCCAGTTTCCAGTCACCTTAGAGTTAGAGGCCTCAGGCCACGCCTCCAGCCCCCAGTGCTCTCCACATGCCCCTCCCACTTAGACGCTTACAGCCTCCTCCCACCTCCTCCTTTTCCCCTTCTGTGCATGGCGTACACCCCACCTTCTCTACAGTTCCCTGGACCCGGCACCATCTGGCACAGGGCACAGGCAGCCATGCCCTTGGCATCCCCGTGACCTCTGTGGAGCCCAGTTGAAGGAAAACTGCCTGTTAACAGCAATTTCCAAAGCATTTTGGGAATGGCTGGGCATGATGGTCATGGATGAGGGCAAGCGGAACTGCCTCAAACAGAGGAAAGAAAGGTTGAGCGAAACCTGTGGCGTACACGATGTCACCAAACCCGAGTCCAAAGGCTTCTTCAGCTCAATGGTACAGTGCTTGCCTGGCAGGCTCAAGGTCCCGGGCTCAGCAGCAGACACACACACAGAACTTTTTTTTTTTCTTTTGGTTATTTCTTCCTTATGCCAAATGTTGTGGAAAACATTAGGATCGCAATGTTGCAGTACAAGCAGCACGGCCTCCTAGGTAATGTTTCCTATAGGTGCGCGGGGGGTGGGGGTGGGGGGGTAGGGCCAGAAATCAGCGTCAGCTGTCTCCACTTCTGCAGCTTATTTTTGAGACCGGAGCTTGTGGATTTGATTCTGCTAGGCCGGATGGCCGTGTCCGCCAAATGCACAAGGCCGCTGGCTTTTTATGTGGGCCCTGGGGATGGTCCTCAAGTCCTCACGCTTTGTTATTAACGGAGCCATCTCTCCAGCCCGTGGCTGTTTCGGCCCCCTCATGAATGACACAGCTAGTTCATTGCTTTTGCCTTTTCTCCTCTGCCTTGCGGGGACACAGCGCCCCCTAGTGGACACAGTGTTCAATACATCATCTTGGAAGCACAGACTAGTCTCCCACCTTGATCCATTGTGCTCCAAAACTGAGACAGAGTAATGTTTTTTGTTTGTTTGTTTTGTTGTTGTTTTCGAAACAGGGTTTCTCTGGGTAGCCTTGGCTGTCCTGGAACTCCCTCTGTAGACAAAGCTGACCTTGAACTCATAGCTCTGCCTGCCTCTGCCTCCTTCAAAGGGATCAAAGGCGTGCGCCACCATTGCTGGGCTCTAATCATGTTTTTAACTTCATCACTCTGTGGCATTTTGTCACAGCAGCACAGATGAGCTAAGACAGTCACTCCTCACGTCTTTCTGTCCAGAGCCCGACCCCAGGCTCTGCCCCCTTTCTTGGTCCCCTCAGGCCCTCACACCAGGCTCCCTCCTGCTGAACCAAGTTCCCTAGCCACCCCCCCCTCCCCCCCCCCCGGCCCTCACCTGTGGCAGATCCCAGTGGTGCAAGGTCACAACGGGGGTGATGTTGCTCTCCAGCAGGGCATCAATGAAATCACTGTAGAATTCCATCCCTCTCTTGTTCACCTGTTCAGCTGTAAGTGAAACAGAACTTGGCTTTTCCTCTGGGGTACAGCATTCCTGGGTCCCTTGGCCTTCTGCAGGCTGAGGCACCCGCAGCCCAGTGTCCTGAGCCATGGAAGAATGCTGTTGGTATGCCTGGAGCCCAGTTACCTGCTGAGCCCAGCAGGTCACCCTCAGCTAGCACTGATCCCTGAGCACCTAAGGAAGGGACAATGGTAACTCACCTCTGACACCTGTGGGCAGGAGCCGCGGCCAAGACAGGGAAAATCGGTAGTGGCTGACTTGCAGCTCCTTCAGCAGGGCGATGTCCTCCTGGGTAGACAGGGGAAGCAGGGCTGGGCGACCTGGGCTACAGGGGAGGGGAGACAAGTCTTGGGGCCTTGGGGATCATGTATAAGCGCCGCTCCAAGAGGTATACCCTCTAAGGACTGTCCTATGAGTTCCTCCTCCATGCCGGCAGTGTGCTCACAGACGGAAGCTTGGGGAACCCTTGAGGAGTCCATGCAAGATTCAAGACAAACCTACCTGGGCTGGAGAGATGGCTCAGAGGTTAAGAGCACTGTTTGCTCTTCCAGAGGTCCTGAGTTCAGTTCCCAGAGACCACATGGCGGCTCACGGGGCCGCGTCACTGGCTTTTTGGCACCTGATTGTTTGGACTAAGGTACTAGCCCATCCCTTTTCCTTCTTCCTACATCCTGGTACTCACAGCCCCAGCCACCACTGTCCTACCCGCTGTGGCTCCGCTGGGTACATGGCGTTTAGCAGAACCTCGGGTGGACATTGTCAGGAAGCTGTCCCCACACTTTGCTCCCCACTTCTCGGCAGGGTGGCCCACACAGGCCCCTTCACTCACCTGAACTTTATAGTAGCTGTCACAGGCTGCATCTGCTGTGTCTGCTGGCACCTGCCGCCTCCCGCCGTGGGTGAAGGCATCCCAGATGCTGGGCCCTTTCCCATCCTGGTCCCACGCACCTTCTGTCTGGTAGGCAGAGCTGCCCACGCCCCAGGAGAAGCCTGTGGAGAGAGACCCACACCGAGCCCTGGCTGCTCCAGCTTCTTCACCTCTCGGGCCAGCGCGCCCACCCCACGGCCTGCCCTAGCTCCCTGGAGTAGGACTGTAGGAGGCAAGGAGAGGGAAGATACAGTAATTAAAAACCTTCTGTGTGCAATTACAGCTCCACTTAGCATCTATCGTCTGCAGATATTAATAACTTGTTTTAGAATTTTATTTTATTATTATTATTTTATCAATTTGTGTGTTGGTTGGAGGGGTTGAGGGGGTAAGGGTGGTGAGTGCAGGAGTCTGAAGAGGCTAGAAGAAAGCCTAGATACCTTGGAGCTGGAAATCCAGGCAGTTCTAATTCACCAGATGGATGAGGATGCTGGGAACTGAACCCTTACAGGAGCAGGAAGCACTTTTAGCTGATGGATCACTTCTCCGGCCTCAAGTCTAGTAACTTTTAAAAACTCTCTGGGTTGGGGATGCAGCTCAGTGCTTGCCTAGCATTGACAAGGCTGTAAGTTGAACTCTTAGCACCACATAGACACACTGATGGGCAGAGCCCTGCCCCCAGCACACATCCACACCTCGGTACCAGAAAGTTTTCTTTCCAAACATCCACACAGAGCTGTTTCCCATCCTACCAGACCAGAAGCCAAAGCATCTAATTCCTTGGCAAGCCAGCCAAGGCAGGAAGGCCATCAGAGACAGACAAATAGATTGATAGACTGACAGTCTGAGGACAGAATGGCAGAAGAGTTGACGTACCAGGCGGAAAGGTTCCATTGTAGAAAGCTGCCTCTTCCGGGGTTCCTCTCCTGGCAGCCCCTACCCTGGGCACCAGCACGATCCACCCAAGGATGATGACCCACACTGGCTTCATGACACCCTGCCCTGCTCCATGCCTAGGAGCCCCTTTCAGGGCTCAGGGACAGAGACCAGGAGGGGAGGAAAGCAGGCCGCAGAGTGATTTGTCTGGGCAGAGTGAGGGGGCCCTGTGTTAGACAATGGGCAGAAGCTGGGCTAACGGGCCAAGCTTCCAGCCAGGCCCTCTGCTGATCCTGGTGTGATGGAAAGCTGTGCTGCACACCTCTCCAGTCTGGTGGGGAGCCTGCCCCTGCCTCAGAAAGCTCCAGTCTGCTGGGAGAGCCCACCAACCTGGAGTCCCCTCAGCCCTTCTGCCTCTGCTGTGGAGCCTTCCTGGGGTGCTCTCCGCATCTAGGGCCCTCTGTCCTTAGCCGTCAGCAAGACCCGTTCCCACAGGGACCCCCTGTCTGACTGAGCCCACCAGCTTACCCAAGATGGTCTCAGCCCTCGACCCCTAGAGCCACTGTTGTCAGCCACAGCTCCCTTTGACTGACTGCACTTCCCCCAGAGCAGAGCCCACAGGCCTGGAAGCCTCTGGTAGGGGTGTGGTCTGTGGCCTGACCCCAACAAAGAGTTTCAGTAATCCCACAGGGAGGGCATAGGCCAGAGTGCTGAGCTGGCCAGAAGGAACTGAGCCAGCAGCAGCCTGGGCCCGGGGCATCCAGCTACTGCCTCCCTGGGAGAAGGGCAGCATGGGGGGAGGTGGCCTAGTCCTGGCTCCCTCTGGTCCTGACTTCGGCACAGCCCTGGGCGTCCTGAGGCGGGTGTGGACTTGGAGCCAGTGGCGTTGAGGATGCCTCAGTTTACCTTCTCACTGCCACAGGAAATCTCTCAAAAAGGCGCTGCTGGGCTTTCCGCTTGAGCCTCCTCTCCTCAGCTTATCTCCTTCTCAGCTTGCTTCTCAGCCTGCGCATTCTGCTGTTGAGGTCTGTGAACTGTGCCGAGGCTTCTCCCACTCACTTCCATCCCAAGGCAGCTTTCCTAGCAACCAGCCTCTATCAGTAAAGCCTCGCCTCAGCCGGGCACGAGGCACAAACCCTAATCCCAACACTCAGGGAGGATCAGGCAGGCAGATTGCTGTGAGCTTGAGGCCAGCCTGGTCTACAAAGCAAGTCCAGGTCTACACAGAAAAACTCTGTCTGGGGGTGGGGGAGAGGTGAGGGAAAGGAAGCGTCACCTCTAAGTTCTCCTCACTGCTTAGCTGCTGCATCTCCCTCAGCCTTTAGGCCTCTTTGTGGTTGACTTTTTTCTAGCCATTCTCCAAGCATCTCCTAGGCCACCACCTCCTCTTTCAGGAAGCCCCTACATATTTCGTGTCCTAGCCCTCCAGCCCTGCAGTTCCACGTCATCTGTGGATTTGTCTTTGCCTCATCTCGGAGACTCACTCCCCTAGGACACAGAGGTATTCCTGCGCCTTCACCCAGGGTCGCTATAACCAGTGCAGTAAACTCTCAGTGGTGTGGGACAAAACTAAAGTTTACAGCTCCAGCCGGGTATGGTGGCGCAGGCCTGTAATCCCGGCACTCAGGGTGGCAAGCCAGGTGGATCTCTGTGAGTCTGAGGCCAGCCTGGTCAACAAATCCAGGACAGGACAGCCAAGGCGATATAGAGAAACCTGTACTAACTAACTAACTAACTAACTAACTAACTAAACTAAACTAAACTAAACTAAACTAAACTAAACTAAACTAAACTAAACTAAATTTTATAATTGCCATAAAAATGGCTAATGTTAGCCAGGGGTGGTGGCACACGCCTGTGATCCCAGCACTCTGGAAGACAGAGGCAGGAAGATCTCTGTGAGTTTGAGGCCAGCCTGGTCTGCAGAGTGAGTCCAGGACAGCCAAGGCTACACAGAGAAACCCTGTTTTGAAAAACAAAACAAAACAACAACAAATTACTAACACTGTCGACTTGTCAACTTGATGAGACTTAGACTCACCATGGAGACAAATCTGAGTCAGTCTGTTAGGAATTATCTCCATAGTTAATTAAAATAGGAAGACCCATACTGAATGTGGGCAGCCCTGTGGGCTGAGGACTTGACTGAATAAAAAGAAGTGAGCCGAGCCGAGCACCAGCAGGCACCTCTGACTGCTTCCTGACTGCAAAGGCACTATAACCAGCCACTCAGTGCTCCTGCGTCACTCTTGTCGCGCATTCTGTCCCAGCAGCAAGGAACTGAGACGCTGCCTGGGTGGGTGGTTCACAGCTTCACAGGTTGTTTTAGTCAGTCCCAGTGCCTGATTCGGTGAGACTGACACAGCTCAGGTCTGAGGGGAGTCTTGCCTAGACGTGGTCTTGCCCAAAGGTCGGTCCTTTAAAGGCCCATGCTGAGGTACAGAAAATCTGAGCTCCCGCACCCTCCCCATTGCTCACCTGCGTACCTCAGGCCCTCCCTCTGCTGTCCAGAGCCACACTGTGCAGGAGAGAAAGCAACAAGGTGGTGCCCGCACACTAAGGGGTCCAGTTGGGGACTAAGGCTGAATCCTCAGGCTCCCATTGCAAAACCTGGGGTCAGGGGTCAGTGTCCCCTCCCAGCTCATAGGGTCCCCGGCATATTTGACATGTCCGTGGATGATGAATGCTCCTCGGAGTGGATGCTTGGGCTGGCTCCATTGCCAAGAGTGTGCTGACGGAAGGGGAATGACCAATAGGAGTGCCTATCTTAGTTTTGTTTCAATTGCTGTGATAAAGTACTCCAATAAAAGTTACTCAGGGAGAAAGGGTTTATTTAGCTACTGTCCGGTTTATAGTGTACTAATGCCAGGGAGTCAAAAGAGCAAGAGCTCAAGACAGCTAATTACATTGCATCTCTAGCCAAGAAGCAGAGAGGAAAGAACTGATATATGCATATTCCTGCTCAACTCACTTTCCTTTTTATGCAGTCCAGGACGCCAAGTCCAAGGAATGGTGCTACCCACGGTGGGCAGGCCTTCCCACTAGATGTAGTTAAGATAACCCCTAACAGATGTCCTTGGAGCATCTCCTCCCAAGTGAGTCTACATGGTGTTAAACTGACAGTTAAGATTAACCCTCACAACCCCTCCCTCCCCTCTTACTTGGGTCTCCTGTGTCCTCCTCTACAAGCCTGCCAGCGTCTGGAGTCTGAGGGGCTGGAAGGCAGGAGAAGGGTGCATGGGATGATGGGTGGGAATGAGGGCTGGCCTCACAGAGTCTTGAGAGATGTTGGACCTGGTCCTTGAAGGTTGTGGGAAAGCAGGAAGGGCATGGCTACTGATGGAGGGGACAACTGGAACATCCACCCCAGGTGTGCCTGGGGACCTTCTCTCTCCTTTATCATCCCTTCACTGCCAGCCCAGGTCATGCTTACAACTGAGAGGGCTGCAGGGCATCTTTCCTAGTGACCACAGCCCACATGCACTATTTTTGTGGTGCCCACTTTACAACCAGTGGGCTCTAGGCCTGCTGTGTTCTGGGCTGACAGTGGCAGGAAACATAACACTTTAAGAGCTGATGTCATCTCTGAAAAATGTCCCTACCCAGGAGCCCGGGCCTCGTGTTTATGTTGGAAAGGCTGGTCAGCCCAGCGTGGCGGGGCTGCCTGGGGTCTGAGGAGAGGCCTGGCTCTCATTCCACTGACTCCAGGCCTGGCTCTGACTGGAAGAGGGTAGGGCCTCATGGCTGATGCCCCCTCCTCGCTGTTTCCTGCTACACACACACACACACACACACACACACACACACACACACACACACGGCATTGACTGCCTGAGGGCTGCACAGGGCTCGAAGTTCCTGATGACCAGACTCGGCTGACGAACACAATATGTTAAAAGACTGAGAGGCACTCTTACTCCACTAGGCCTAGCTTCTTCCTCTTTCTCAAGATGGTGTCCTTTACTGACAACCCTGTCAGGACCCGGGACTCTGCCTGGACTCTGCCTGTGATGATGCATTTCACCAAGGATCTGGTTCCCAGTCCTGATGGTGGGTCCTTCAGCATAGACCACGTGGTAACCATTACTGTCCTGGCAGGAGTGAAATTATTCTAAAGACAGACACTTGTGCCCCTTTCACACTCGTGAAGCCTGGTGCCAGTCAGAGAAAGTTTGTCTCCCTGAAAGAGATTTCACACAGTTCTGACAAAGGGTAAGACCACCTTGCAAGGGAGACTGGAGCTGAGACACGGCGGGTCAGTAGTGAGCAGGACCTCACCCTGACCAGGACTGTCCTTCACTACATAGCTCTGACCATCCACTTAAGTGTGTGTGTGTGTGTGTGTGTGTGTGTGTGTGTGTGTGCACATGTGTGCCTGTGAATTGGTTATTGGTTACCTGGAGCCAGAGTTAGAGGCAGTTTTGAGCCTCCCAGTGTGGGTGCTGGGACCTGAGCGTGGGTTGGGTTCTCTAGAAGGGTGGTCTGGCCCATCTCTCTGGCCCCTTTGGCCTTCTATTTATACCTAAATCTTGTGTCCAGGTTCTGAAGCTGAACGTGGGGCCTCTCTGGACCGCTTTGTCCTCTCCAGTGAAATCCTGCTACCTACTTCTTCCGGGGAGATGGAAATGCTATTCGCCTCAAATAAACAGGCCACAGGCAGGGCTGGTGGGATGGTTCATCAGGTAAACACCCTTGCCAGTAAGCTTGAGTTCAGTCACCAAGGCTGGCTTTGTAGTAGAACCAACTCCTAAAAATTGTCTTCTGACCTCAACATTCAAGCTGGTGTGTGTGTGTGTGTGTGTGTGTGTGTGTGTAGCATAATAAAAGTGCCCGGTGTTTCGGGCATGTTGGTTTAGATTTTGCGGTAAAAGGAAGGTGACCAGAACAGCCTGGAAGCTGGCAGAGGGAGCTTGGCAGGGACAGAGGGGCTGGCTCAGCTTGTCAGGCCAGTGCCTGTGCATGCGGTGGTTCCGGGGCTCAGTGTGGCACAGAGCCTGTGCGGAGCTGTGAGTGCAGCTGGCTTGGAGGGCTGTAGAGAAGGGGGGTGTGTGGCGGGAGGTCACAGGTGGAGTCCTCCCTCGGAATTCTGCCAGCGCAGTGCTGCGTCCTGAGGCC